CATGTTCTGTCTCAACTCTTTCATCCACAGGGTCAGTGGAGTGATTTTCAAACCCATTTTCTCAAATCCTCAGTCTATTCCATCAACAAAGAAAAACACTCCAATATTTCTCCATAAGCCATAGGATCCAGTCCAGTGCGCCTGGCCTCATGTTCCTAGAGTTCTTTTCTTTAAAAAAAAAAAAAAGAAAAGATTTTATTTATTTATTTTTAGATAGCAGGGAAGGGAAGGAGAAAGAGAGAGAAACAGAGAAATATCAATGTATGGTTGCCTCTTGTGTGCCACCAAGTGGGGGCCTGGCCGAGAACCCAGGCATGTTCCCTGGCTGGGAATCGAACCTGCAACCCTTTGGTTCTCAGGCCGGCGCTCAGTCCACTGAGCCACACCAGCCAGGGTCAGAGTTCTAAATGCTAAGCAAAAAATGGGATGTGAGTGTCTGTGGAAATGAACCTTGAAGGCCATCCCTATTTCAGGACCTAGAAGAGGAAGCGGGGGGGTTCTGCCTGGCATGGCTGGAAGGCTTCCTGAAAGAGGAGGGATTGATGCTGTGGCTTTAAAGAAAGCAGAAGCCAAAAACCCAAAATTTGAGATGTGGGAGAATGAGAAGCATGTGGCATCAGGGAAGCCAAGGGAAGAGGATGTTTGAGGAAAAAGGAAATGGTCAGGTCTAAGGAATGCAGGAGAGAGATTAGAAAGATAGCAGGGGTGGCGGTGGGGTGGGGGCGATGTAGGGAAAACTCCTCTTTGCAGAATAATTCAGGTAGCAGACATAGAAGGAGTCTATAGGATTAGAAAAATTGTTGTGCAACCACCAGTGATGTAAAGACACAAACAAGGGGCACCAATAGAGACAAAACCCACTGGGTAAAAGATTGTAAGAGACGAGGTGGTCACAGTCTTGGAAAATCCTTCCCACAGACTGATTATTAATTATAAAGGTGAAAAGTAACCTGTAATGTGGAGATCTGGTTGACACCACTGGATCCAAGTGATCAAGGTTCACGTCACTAGTCAGGTGGCAAGACAGCATCATGTGCCTCCTGGTACCATGCACTGAGGAAGACACAGTATCACTTCTGAACTCAGCCTAAATCTAATCAGGAGGAAACATCAGATTGTGGGAGATTCTACCAGACAGCTGGCCCAGCCCCTTGAACACTGATAGCTGTGAAACACACAAACAAGACAAGGACAATGTTGTAGATGAAAAAGGAGACATGACACAAAAAGCCACGTGTGATCCCCATTGGAGCCTGGATTTGTCTCCACCTCCTTGCCACTCCCCACCTCCCAAAATCCCAACTGTAAAAGATATATTTGGTGAGAATATAAAATGATGAGAATGTCAAATGATGCAGCAAATGGTAGAGCAGTTCCTAAAAAAAAATTAAACAGAATGACCACGTGATCCAGCATTTCACTCTGGGCACATACACAAAAGAATTGAAAGCAGGATCTCAAGAAACTTTTATTTGTACACTTGTGTTCACACCAACATTATTCGCAAGAGCCAAAAGATGGAAACAACTTAAATTTCTATCAATGGATGAATGAATAAACACAATGTGGTCCCCATCTACCCACTGGAATATTATTCAGCTTTAAAAAGGAAGTTATACTTACCTGGCAGGGGAGATACCATGATCATAAAAAGAAAGGAAATTCTGTTTCATGCCACAACATGGATGAACCTTGAGGACATTATGCTCGGTGAAGCAAGCCAGACACAAAAGGACAAATACTGTGTGATTCCACTCACATGAGGATCCTGGAGGGGTCAGAACTGTAGAGACAGGAGGTAGGTGGTAGAAGCCAGGGGCTGGGGGAGAGGGAGTTAGTGTTTAATGGGGGCAGAGTTCCAGTGTGGGAAGATGAGAAAGTTCTGGAGACGGATGGTGATGAGGGTTGCACAACAATGTGAATGTGCTTAATCCCACTGAACAGTGCGTTTAGAAATGGTTGGGATGGTAAATGTTATGTTATGTATACTTAATTACAATAGTAAGGACATGTGGGGCAGTGGGAAATTGAAATATGGAGCATATATATGAGAAGGTTCTGTTGCCTCTGTTTATAGCCCTGAGAGTAATAATGATACTGTGGTTTTCTAGGAGAAGCTTCTGATTCTTAGCAAATGGGGTGGAGCACAGAGTGTAGAGCTGAGGTGCTGTGATGCTGCAGCTTTCTTCAAAGCAACCTGGGAGAGAGAGGAAGAAGAGAAGAGTAAAAATGGTCACTGTCAACCATCGGAGAACTGAGGGGGAAGATCATGTGTCTATTGTATCACTCTTTTGACTCTTTTTCATAGGATTGGAATTTTTCCAAATAGAAAACCTAAGACAATAAAAAAGACAAGGGCAGTGAGGTGACAAAGTCCTCCAAACCCTAGAGGTGAATACCATTGTTCTTTCCATTTTACCTAAGGGAAAACTGAAGCCCAGAGAGGAGAAATCACTTGCCCTGGAGCAGAAGTAAGCAGGTGTTACAGTGAGGTGAAACAACCCGGAAGGAGTCTGAGGCCTCCTCCTGGTTCAGAAGTGCCCCACTCCAGCCCGACAATGCTCTGCTGTGAGGGGCATTCACCAGCTGACTCCTGATCTGCTTCTCGTGTGCCCGAATGCTGCTTCCCACCACCCATGACGAGCGGAGCCCTGGACACTGTTGTTATGCAGTTGACCCTTGAATAATGCAATTTGAAACTCTAGGGTCCACTTACATGCAGGTTCTTTCAATTGATCCACAGAGTCCAAACCCATGTTGTTAAAGGGGCAACGGTATTTCATTCTGCAGACACTTGGGGTGATGCTGGGGCCCTGAGAAGGACTCTGCCGTGGTTCCCCCGACCTTAATTTCCCCCAGGTACAGAGCAGAGCTAGATACAGACCTTTGCAATGCACATGATGGAGAATAGACGCAGGAAAGGAACCGGGCATTGGCTCTGCAGCTTTAAAGAACGCAGCCCTTCAGGACCCATTACTAGGGATATGGGGATGGCCCAGGTTTGGCCTCTGGAGCCTCGAAGACTCTCAGGCTGGGGCTGAGGACATTAGGGCAGACAAGGCCATCCCTTTGTCTCCTCTTCCCCTCAAAAGAGCTTTTTTTGTGAGTTTCTGGGAAGCAGGGCAGCCAGATGATGCAACCCCAAGGGTGGGTCCTTTTGTCCTCTGCAAAGGGAAGATCACATACCCAAGCCAGCAGGGGTACATCCTCACCCTGGCCCAGCAGTTACGCCTCCAGGGAGCCAGGACCCCCACTCCAGCTAGCTCTTTTAGAGATGCCCTAAGAGTGTGGTTGTAAATGTGGGGATCTTTCCCTAGAGTCCCCAAAAGTTAAAAACAAATAATTAAATCTGTGCATTCTATTCACTCTGCCTTCCTCCTACCAATTTTTTTTTTTTTTTCATTTAAAACAGTGGCTCTGCCCTGGCTGGGTAGCTCAGTTGGTTATAGCATCATCCTAATACACCAAGACCGTGGGTTCAATCCCCAGTCAGGGCACATATAAGAAGCACCCAATGAATGCATAAGTAAGTGGAATAACAAATCAATGTTTCTCTCTCTCTCTTCCCCTTTCTCTCTCTAACATAAATAAATAGAAATTTAAAAAAAAATGAAACAGTTGCTTAGCTGGAGCTACCCACCTCTTTTGGAATATTCCAGGGTGCCAAGGTGGGGGTCTGCTACCGTTCAAGCCCACATGCCTCTTTCCTGAGTCATGGGTGAGGCAGGCACAGATATTTTGCAGCCTATTGCCTGGAGAAGTATTTTAGAATCATTAGCCCAAGAAAATGCACTCTTGTCCATTCATCCATTCCTGACCATGCAGGGCCTTGTGGGCCAAGGCAAGTGCTGTGAGGACCTGATGAAGATTTCTTTTAAATCCTCACCTGAGGATATGTTTTTATTGATTTTAGAGAGGAAGGAAGAGAGAGAGAAACAGCAACGTGAAAAATATTGATCGGTTACCTCCTTCCCACACATGCTGGACTGGGAATCAAACCTGCAACCTTTTGATGTATGGGATGGTGCTCCAACCAACTGAGCCACCCAGCCAGGGCTAATAGAGATTTTAAGGCAAGGGGTGAAGTGGCCTGATTGGTGTGGAGAGTCTTTTAGATGCTTGGGGAATAGGATTGCCAGATAAAATCTAGGCTGCCCATTTAAACTGGAATGTCAGGTAAACAATGAAGTTTTTTAAGCATATGGTTATCCCTAAAATGGTGGTGTGGGCCATACTTATGCTAAAAAAAATTTTATTATCCCTTTGAAATTCAAATTTGAGAGGGCATCCTGTATTTTTATTTACAAGGAGGGGCGACAAGGTCTGTACCCAGGAGACCCAGCTGCAGCTGAGGCACTGGCGGATGGGTGGAAGCAAGGCGGAGGTGGGGCAGCAGAGAGAAGCGGCAGGGTTCCGGGTGGATTTAGGAGAAAGAGCCCCTATGTCTTGCTGATGGACTGGACATGGCAGATATGTATGCCTTTTGCTGGGAGGACTTCGGTTTTGCCCTGAGTGAGGCTGGGGGAGCCCCGGTGCCCCAGGAACGCTGTGAGTCGGGGAGGCTGCTGGAGCTGACCTGGGTAAGAGGCCTGCAGAGGCAGCCCTACAACTCCATGACCACCTGCCCCCCCGGGAACTGCTTCAGCCCAGGGTCTCTGCCTCAGCACTGCTCACTTTTGCGCGTGGGTCAGTCTCTGGGTTGTCCTTCCTGGACACTGCGGGGTGTTGAGCAGTATCCCTGAGCCCCAACCACTTGGTGCCAGGAGCACCTCCTCCCCTAAGTTGTCACCCAGTGTCTCCTAGAGGACAGAATCAGCCCTGGTCTGGGCACAGAAAGGCCCCAGCGAGGAGGTGAGTCTGGATGCCCCAACGGCTGGAGCTTGAGGAGGGTTAGGCCATGTGCTCCCCACACCCACACTCACATGAAGGCCATCTGTGCAAGACAAAGGAAGGGGTGCTGGGAGAGTGATAAAGCTTTTAATATTTAAAAGTTTGGGCACTTAATTCTGGCAATCCTCGCTCATAGATAACACTGACCCCTCCTGCAGCTGGCAGGTGTCTGAGTCTGGGGCGTTGCTGGTGATGATGATGGGAACCTTGGCCTTCACACTGGTCAGGGACCAGGGCAGGTGGACGGTGCCGACCAGCTCGTACTGGCTGCTCATGATGTTGCCGTCCTGCATGTCGCTGCTCACAGACAACACCTGCGGGAGGTTGAAGATGCTGACAATCTTGGTGGTGTTGAAGGGTGTAATTTGGGTGTTGGCCTCCTGCCGGAGCAGCTCACTGCTATCCACTCGTGACCGCCGCTCTGCTTTGGGTGTGAAGCCCTCGTACTGCACGTGGGTGTAGAGGGCAAAGATGACAGTCTTGATGTATTTGCTGGTCTGGTTGTTGATTTCTGTGGTGAAGATGATTCTCTCCCCTGGCACAAAGGTGTTCTTTTCCATTCGGATCTGCAGGCAGATGGTGCCCTGGCTGCAGCAGTTGTAGGAGACCTTCTTCTCAGTCTCCACAAACAGGGGGTTCTAGAAGGGGTGGGGTTGGGGGGAAGTTGATAACTGTGAGGGACCATGGCCACAAAGTCCACTCGCCTGCCTAGCATCCCACTATTTTAACTCCTCCAAGCCTTGAGCCTTTTGGGACTCTCCTAGTAAGAGGCATGGAGATGGAACCTGGAATCTTGGGGGTTTTGTAGCCCAAGGCCTGGAGTCATCTCCGAGCTTCTTTTAATCAAAGTCCCTTTGCCATTCTGAGTATCAATTTCCTTAGGTGTAAAATAGAGCTAGAAATCCACACGACCCTAGCTTCATCCCTAGCTTCATCCCTAGCTCTGTTACTTACTTGCTGTGTGACCTTGAACAAGTGGCTTGACTTCTCTGAGCCTGGGTCTTACAGTCTAAGTCCAAGACTAGGGTTTATTCAAATTGTTCAGATTTTGGGAGGAAATAGGATGGACTGAATCATGAAAGGAACTGGAGAGTTGAAATTGTGTAATGTGTTAAAATAAATGCCTCAAAATGCAGCCCTTATATCAACTGGTCAGCTGCTGGATTGCAAAGTCACATATACATTATAGTTAATGTATGGCTTGGGTAACATTTTATTTTTGATTTGTGGATAATATTTAAAAGATTTCATGTAATGTGGGAAGGCTTAGAATGAACATGCATGTTTATTCCCCTTAAGCATGAGAGAGAGAGTGTGTGCTCCAACTTCCCATTAGTGACATGAGGTCGGTAACCTTAAAATGACCATAATGGGAATATTTACACCATGGAAATTGGCAAACATTACACATTAGGGCTGTCTTGTTAACCGTTTATTAGCACAGCACTGCCATGTTCCTGCTTTATCAGCAGGTAGGACTTCTCCCAATTTGCTTCAGAGTGCTGTTCACTTAAGAAATAAAACGTCAGTATCACACGATTGAATGCACTTAACACTATTGAACTGTGCACTTAAAAATGGCTAAGATGTCCTGGTCAGGTAGTCCAGTTGGTTGGAGCATCATCCCAATATGACAAGGTTGTGGGTTTGATCCCTGGCCAGGGCACATACAAGAATCAACCAATGAATGCATAAATAAGTGGAGCAACAAATTGATGTTTCTCTCCCTTTCTCTCTCTCTCTAAAAAAAAAAAAATCAATGAAAATTGTTAAGGTGGCAAATTTTATGTTATGTATTTTTTTTTAACCTCAGTTTAAAATAAAAATAAATAAAACATCAGCCCTGGTCTGTTTGGCTCAGTTGGTTGGCATTGTCCTGCAAACTGAAAGGTTGCAGGTTCGATTCCTGATCAGGGCACATGCCTGGAGTGCAGTTTGGTTCTGGCCCGGGCACACGTGAGGGACCACCTTGATTGATGTTACTCTCCCTCTTTTTCTCCCTCCTTTCCCCTCTCTAAAATCAATAAGCATGTCCTTGGATGAGGATTAAAAAAAAATAATAAATAAATGTTAACAATATTAAAAAATAAAACATCAGAGATCTAGTTGAATCCCCCATGGACCTCTCCCCAATGCTATTACCCCCCCCAGAGGTAACCATTATCCTGAATTTGGGATTTATCATATCTGTACATTAAAAAAACCCCTCAAACATTATTAAAAAATACAACTCAGATACAGAAAACCCCACAAAGCAAAGGTGTACCTTTGTGAATAATTGTAAGGCCAACCATCTTGTAGTAGCCACCCAAGTCAAGCAGCAGAAAATTGCCAGCTTCCCCCAAAGTCCCTCATATGTGCTCAGCCACCCACTCAGGCCCCGAAATGCAACTATCCTGAATTTTATAATAATCACTCTTATGTACCTGCACATGTTTATGTGTAGGGACCCGAACAAGATATTTTTAGGAAAAAAGCATGTAAAGAATAATATAAAAACTTAAAATGTATCTTTCAGGTTTGAGAAATAAAACATTAGCAATTAGACTGAAATCTTGTGGGTTCCGTCGCTTCACCCCACTGCTGCCTCCCCCTTGCAACGGGCAGCCATGATCTGAGTCTGGCCTTTGTGCTTCCCGTAGAATTTTTATTTAGGAATACATCTATTTGTAGACGTATACATTATTGTTTTACATACTTTGATACTTTATATAGATCAAGCTGCATGTCTTTCAGCAACTTGCTTTTTTTGGCTCGATATTCTGTTTGAAATGCATTCACATCAGTGCCTGTCATTCTAGTTCATTTGTTTTCACGAATGCAACTGAATGTGTTGCAAAATAGTTCATCCGTCCCCCCGTGATAGACATTTATATTGTTTCCGTGTTTGATATCATAAAAGTGCTAGAAGGAAGAGACTGAAGACAATTTCCTTGGGCTTACACCCACGAATATCTCTAGGGCATTAGTTGGCAAACTTTTTCTGTAAAGGAACTGATAATAACTATAGTTTAGGCTTTTCAGGCCAAATATGGTATTTGGCATATAGTATTCCTTTATTTTGTTTTATTTTACAAATTTGAGAGAGAGAGAGAGAAACATTGACTTGTTGTCCCACTTATTTATGCATTCATTGGTTGCTTTTTGTATGTGCCCTAACAGGGGATTGAACCTGCAACCTTAGCATAACTGGGATGGCACTCCAACCAACTGAGCCACTCAGTCGGGGTGCTTTTTTTTTTTTTTTTTTTTTTTTTTTTACCAGAACTCACAGTTAAAACATAGATTTTAACATTGTGGCAAAGAATACAAATCTGTGTGTACATCTCTACCTAGACTGGTGAAAGAGAAGCAAGTTTTATGAAATTTTGTTTATCCTTATTATATTTACTGTTCTACTCTATTCTATGTATTCTATTCATTTAAAAACTGTTGGTTGCAATCCTCTGAATTTATTTTTATTTTTAGTCTACTTACTCTATTTTATTATTTTATTTTACATAAAACAAAAATTTTAGCCTGGCTGGTGTGGCTCAGTGGATTGAGCACTGGCCTGTCAACCAAAAGATCGCTGGTTCAATTCCCAGTCAGGGTACATGCCTGGGTTGTAGGCCACGTCTCTAGTTGGGGCCATGTGAGAGGCAACTGGTCAGTGTTTCTCTCACACATTGATGTTTCTCTCCCTGTCTTTCTCCCTCCCTTCTCCTCTCTCTAAAAATAAATAAATAAAATCTTTTAAAAATTAAAAAAAATTAGCTGGTTGTAATCTACCAAATTTATTTTTTTTCTGGAAAACTCTGCTCTATTCTTTCATTTAAAGTTGATTGCAGCCCACCAAACTGGTTTTGTGTGTCTGTGTGTGTGTGTGTGTGTGATATTTCCTTTAAAAAATTTTTTTTTACTTAATGATTTGAGAGAGCAAGAGAGAACCATCAATCAATTTGTTGTTCCACTTAATTTATGCATTCATTGGTTGATTCTTGTATGTGCCCCGACAATGTATTGAACCTGCAACTTTGGAGTATCGGGACTATAACTAACTGAGCAACCTGGCCAGAGCTAATATTTTCTACTAATTTTATTCTGTTCTTTTTTCACATATAAAAATATGTGTGAAAAATGTATATTTATATATAAATTTATATATAAATGTTTGCAACCCACTAAATTGATATTTTCTATTTTGGTCTTGCCTATTCATTCTTTTATAGAAATATGCTAGCAACCCGCTAAATTGATCTTGCAACTCACTAATGGATCATGATCTGAGGTCAAAAAACACTGCTCTAGGTCCACTGTGTTTCCTCTTGGAGACCTTGGGCGACCCTCACCCCTTCTGATCTCGGCTCCTGCCGTCTGCCCGTGGGCCCTGCTTCTCTTTAGCCTTTCCAGGCTTCCCTTCCTTTAGGAAGGCTCATTGTAGGGGGTTTAGGTTATAAATCCCTCTACTCTTACTCGAAATTTTTGTGGCTTGCATTAGGGCCCTGCAGGAATTAAGGAACTCGCTGTTTTAGATCAGGGCCAAGTCCGTAGTTCTGTCCTGGTCGTGAAGGAGGTGCCAACAGATACCAGCGGTGGTTGGTCCAGGAGGCCTCCATGCCTGACCAAGTGGGATGGGCCAACGGGCCCTGGTTCCCAGTAATATTTCCAGTGCAAAGCCAAGATTGGGGTTCCTGGACCTGAGAGTTTTGGAACCCTGTATTTCTTCAGCATATATGAAACTTTAGGGGGGTTCATTCATTCAGCTGGTTTTTATTTGCATCTACGTGGTGCCAAGTTTGGGGAAAACCCATAGCAGTGAAGACCTGCTCTGGGAGAGGAGATGGACGTAAACAGTATGTGTGAAAACAAACCAGGTCATTTCTGGTTGGGATAGCGATGACCTGTGACCGGATGCAAATGCTGGGGTATGAGATCAAGGAAGTGGGGATGGGGGCTCCCTTACAGTTGATAGTTAGGAAGGGACTCTGGGACAGGCTCCTCTCCCAAATGCTACCGCTGGGAGAGGAGATGGTTCACTTCTTTAAAAGTCTAAAGATGCAAAGAATGGAGGTGGGACAGGGCGCGGGGGAGAAACTAGAACCCTGTGCATTATTGGTGGGGAGGTAAATGGGGCCTGCCTGTGGAAAACAGGCAGTTTATCAAAAGGTGAAACAGAGTTACCATCTGGCTCAGCAATTCCACTCCAGGAATCCACTCCACAAAGGAAGTAGGCTCATGCCCACACAACAACTTGCACTTAAATGTTTACAGCAACATGATTCATAATAACCAAGAAATGGAAGCAACCCAAGTGTCCATCAGTGGAAGAAGAGACCCACAAAATGCGGCCTATTCATGCACTGATTCCACCTTAAAAAGGACTAAAGCTCTGACACTCGCTGCAATGCAGGTGGGCCTTGGACACATGATGCTCGGTGAGAGAAGCCAGACCCCAAAGGCCACACATAGTGTGTGACTCCACTTACGTGTAATGTCCAGACCAGGCACATCCAGAGACAGAGGGTGGGGGCTGGAGATGGGGCAAAGGGAGGTTGGGTGTGCCAGCGGAGGGGTGCGAGACTTCTTTTGGGGGTGATGAAATGTCCTAAAATCAACTGTGGTACACTTTATATGCGTGAATCATAAGGGATGTGAATTATATTTCAATAAAGCTGTTAAAAACACAAAGTGGAAGGGGAAAAAGCTTCTTTGCTCTTTGCTCCCAGCTCCCCGCCCCCTCCCAGGAGGCAGCATCTGTTGCCAGTTGCTCTGCTCTCCTTCCAGAGATGTTAGTTACACCTGCAAGGAAGTAATTTATTTTCACCACCAACGGGTGCAGGCTAGACATGCCAGTTCTGAACTTTGTTTTAGTCATTCAACCCAGTGACTTGGAGATCCTGACAAGGTGGCCTGACTCATTCTGTTTCTGTCTCTGTCTCTCTTGATTTACTACAACCTATGCAGGGGAGTCCAACCTTTTGGTTTCTCTGGGCCACACAATAAATACACAAACACTAATGAAAACTGATGAACAAAAAAGGTTTTAAGTAAATTTACGGTTTTGTGTTGGGCCACATTCATTGCCGTCCTGGGCCACATGTGGTCCTTGGGCCCCAGGTTGGACACCCCTGCTAGTTTTTTTGTTTGTTTGTTTGTTTGTTTGTTTTTACTGGGTACTTCTACTAACCCTTAGCAACAAACACTACACTTTCCAGTTTTTGACCCTATAAACAGTGCTGTGGGAAGTTATGTCACACACATGAAAGAATATCAGTAGGAGAAATTTCTAGAAGGGGAATGACTGAGGCAAAGTGCATGTTCATTTTAATATGGATAGCTATGGCTAAATTGCCTGCATAGGGCTTGTGGCAGTTTATTTGGCTATCAGCAGGTGAGTGAAGACACTGAGTGAAGATCCAAAAAATAGAAAGGTCATTATAGTGTTCCAAGCAGAGGGGACAGCTTGCGCAAAGGCTCTGGGGCAGGACTATTCCTGGTGTGTTGGAGGGACAGGTCGGAGGCCCCTGTGACTGAAGCAGAGTGAGCGAGCGGGAGTAAAAGGGGATGGGAGAACTCGGGCTTTTACCCCAAGGAAGGTGGGAGCCCTCGACAGTGTGGGCAGAAAAGGGTCATCACCTGACTTCCTCTGTCTGCTCTGAGACGGGCAGACTGTTGGGGGCTAAGACTTTGCCTCTACTTGGGCCAGAGCAGTAGCCTCTGCCCTGCTCCCCCAGCTCCTGCTCTCCCCGGCCCCACACACCTTGTCCTGCCCCAGGACCGTGACACATATTGTATCTTCTGGCTGAAACCCTCTACCCCCATGGCTCTCCCCTTCTCCTCCTTCCATTCTCCACTAAAATGTCACCTCCTCCTGAAGGCCTCCCTTGACCAGTCTGGTTAAAACAATACTGAGTAGTTAGGAAAAAAAACACAGTATTTTCATATTCTCAAAACTCATCTGTGATAACTCCCTTTGCTGCTATGATAGCAATTATAGGTCTTCTCACTTCCTGGGCACCTCCTATGTGTAAACATTGTACTGAGTGCGTAGCAGCCCTCACAGGCGCCCACTAAGGGAACTGCTGTCGTTGTTGTTATTATTAATAATAATTATTTCCATTGTATAGATCAGGTCAGTCTAGGCTCTGCAAAGTGTTGCTAACTGCCCAAGGCCATCTGGCTAATGAAGGGTCCGGTGGTGGACGTGAAGTGGCGTCTGACTCAACGCCAGGGTTTTGCCCCCAACTCCTGCCTCGTGCCCCCTGCACTCCAGACCAGCTCTGAAAGGCGGCCTAGAGAAGGGTCATGTCCTGTTCAAGGTCACACATTGAGCAGATGGCCAAGCAGGCCTTGAGTCAAGCCTGCTCCTCTCAGGGCGGATCCACCCCCCACACATCTACCTCTCCTGGCTCCCTCCTGGACCATCCCCGGAGGTTGGCTGGGCTAGAAATGCCCCTGTTACACAGATAATAATACAGGTGGTGGTAGCAGCAGCAAGATTTACTGCCCCATGCCAGGCACTCTGCAAAGCCCTGGACTGGTGTAAAGTCCACTCATTGCTCCCTCCACGGCCTAGGAGGCAGAAACTGTTTGAGTGCCCGTTTTACAGATGAGCACTCAAAACACAGAAAGGCAAGGTCACTTCTAGAGGGTCACACAGAAGGTATGTGGGGGATCTGGGGCTTTAATGTGGACCTCCGAAATGAAAGCGCCAGTGCTCTCAGGCACTGCACTGATACCAAATGAATCCCCAGGAAGGTGAAGTGACTGCGGCCAAGTTCCCCCACCCGCCCAACTGCCGCCTCTGCACCTGGGCCTCCAGAAGCCGTCCAGAAGACCTCTGCTCCGGCAGCCTGATGCCACACGCCCTTCCTTCCCCTGGGATGGAGGCCACCCCCTTCCCTTGCTTCTTGGGGTGGGGGAGGGGACACCATCTGCATTGTCTGAGGGCTCAAAGCCCAAGGAGAGTCACTGAGTGTCCAGGCCTCTCTGTCACCCAGGGGGTAACAAGGGGGCCTCAGCTCAGTCTTGATTTACTGCAGGGCCAGGGACATTGGGCCCTAATCGTTTCTGGGGGGGGGTCATCCTGGGCACGTCAGGTGATAAGCAGTATCTCTGGCCTCCTCCCACCAACGCCAGGAGTACTCCCAGTCGTGAGAACCAGAGAGGTCCCCACACATTGCCCAATGTCCCTTGGAGGGCAGAATCACTCCGGTTGAGTACCACTGACTTAGCTCCTGCCCTGGTTTCTGATTAACATTGGTGAGCTCACTAGGGTGGGGAGCCCGACACCTTTCCCTTCTTCCCTGCCAGAGCCTTCTCTGCCCCTTGCCTGCACACATGCCCCCTGCCTTCTGCCTCCTTGGAGCTTTGAGACGTGCCCCACCTTGCTCCTCCCCCATTACTACCTGCGGTGGGTGTTCTCTGTGGAAGTCCGAAGTCCCTTGAACCAACAAGTACGTTCTCTTCTTCGCTAGAATGTGCTCCCGGCCCATGCAGGAGGCTTGCAGGAAGTAGAAGACATGGCCAATTTTGCTGGTGAAGGTAGAAGGAAGCCTGGGAGGTAAGTTGAAATGGAAATCAAAGGTGTGGCTGCCTGCACTTAACCAATTATCTGAAAGCAAAACACACCGACGCCATCAGAAGGTTCTAGAAGCCTTTCCCCCCCCCATTTTGTTTTCCTCTTTATTTATTGTTTTGCTGGGGAGGTTGTTCTGGACCTGGCTTGTCTGTCCCTGAGCTAGGCTGAGCTATGTGCATTTAGGGACCTGAATTACCCATAAATATGAGGCCCAGGCCTCAGCTAGGCTGGAAGAGGCTGACTCGGGTGGGTCACGTGATTGGTGTGGTCACTCCAAAACACTGACAGGGACTTGCTCAGTTCTGCCTTGGCCCTAAAAAACCGGTCCTCAGGATTCAGTCACACACACATTAAACAAATACATCCGAGCCCCTTCTATCCACCACAGGCCCCTCCAGGCAGCCTGTGCAGCAGTGAGCAAGGCAGCCAAATCGCCTTGCCCTCGTGGAGCTCAGTCTTCAGTGCACTATAAGCACAGCATTCAGTATGTGCTTGATATTTGTTGGTTGGTTGAGTGGCAACTGAGGACCAAGGAGAAACACATTCCCTCATTTCTGTGACTTTATCTTTTTTTTTTTTTGCATTTCTCCAAAACCCTCTTACAATCGTGTTTTCCCTACCTGATGGCAACCAATGACACCAGGAACTGTGTCCATTTTCTTCACTGCTGTATCCCCAGCATCTGGCACAGTGTTGTATGCAGTGGGTGCTCAATAAATGTTTGTGAAATAAATGGATGAACCTATAGCAGGCTTGAGGCTGATGCTTTTGAGGGGAAATACAGTCTCTTGGAAATGGGCAAGGAGGGGTGGTGCCTAATGCTGGGGTAGTACTGGGCAGGGGAGTGTTTTGGTTGCATGAGCTGACACTTATCAAGCACTTACTGTATGCCCTGCGCTATCTAAGCCGTTTACATGCCATTAAATCATGAAGCCTCAAAGGAATCTTACAAGACAGGACTTCTTATTTCCATTTTCCAGGTGGCTAGTGTCCCTCCCATCATTCATATCTGAGCTCTGTTGCTCTTTTGAGAGACCCCCATGACCAGCAACTTATGTCTTGTTATTTTCATGTTATGTGTATCTGACGGTCACTGTTTTACATGGATTCCCTCCTAGGGGGGAACCATTCCTTTGCTCATTTCTGATAGTCCTGAGGTTTGCTGACCAGCTAACAGATGTGTTTACCTTCCAGACTCAGGCTCCTATTATGGTTAGGGTTGGCTGCTGGCCTCGTCCTTACCCTTCACTGAGAACGTCTTTGTCTTGTGTACGTAGTCAGCCTTGTTGTTGCAAATAACGTCTCTGCTATAATCACGGGATGCCCCAGTTTCTTCATTCCACTCCACGTAGCCCCTTCCCACGAGCTCCACTTTCACAATGGGGTCCACCAAGGTGCTGTTCAGGGTTAGAACTACCTGCCCTTTTATGCAGGAGCCAGCCAGGTAGACCGCATCCTTGGGCAGCACTAAGTCGATCAACTTCACCACAGACATGGAGGGTTGGGCGAGTGGAGAAACATCCTCCCCCTTTCTCCATGCTACTGAGATGCTGGGCTCCTTGGCCACAGTGAGGTCACTGTCTGTGACATCATCCAGCCAGGGTTCTGGGAAGGGGTTCCCAGTGACCAGAAGGAAGGGAGGCAAGGTTGTTGCTTGGGAGTAGGCAGCAGCTTGGGAATCCCAGAGTCCTCACTGGTTTGTGAAATGGTAGCCTGATCACCTTTTCCTAGAAAATGACAAGCAAACAAACAGAAACAACTATAAGATGCCAACATTCTTGCCACACAGAGAACACCTGTCATCATGCCAGGGTTTAGGAGGCTTGAGTGGGAAGAATTCATCCAACCACTCTGCTGAGGTAGGTGCTGTGAGCCCTAGGTACAGATGGAGACCATGGGAGTGAGCCCAGAGATATTTTCTGCTGCATCAGATGGCCCCCAAGCATGGTAGGTGTGCCTCTCAGGATTCATGCATTGTTTGTAGGTCATACACAATCATTTTCATTTTAATGGTTCTGTGTTAGAAAAAAAATAAATAAAGATGTGGCCAGGACATGAAAGCAAATGCGAAACAAATGAAGCTGCTCAGAGCACTGCACGGCTCACCTACACGTGGACACCGTCATGAAGAATCATCTCCTTGCGCAGCCGATATTTCCTTTTATGCCTGATGCTCCTCCATTGGATGGCAAGTGTCTTCAGGTAGGGACTTTATCTCCGTGGGCTTTGTGTCCACCGATGTCTGCTGGACCCAGGACCTGATCTAGACACGGGAGGTCAATAAAAGTTGAATGTCTTACTGACCTTCAAGATCATATCATTTTGCCAAAGGGAAACCGAGGTCTTTTTGCAGCCTAGTGGTTATTCCTGTCGCCTGATTGGCACGAGGGCTGGTGCCTAAGTGGGAGTGACACTAAAACAGAAGAGGCACTAGGAAGGGCCCATCTCCAGACTCTGGCAGGCCTCGTTCATTATCTTTGCTGTATCTTGTATTTGTATGTGCTGTCTTTTGTGGACACTGACATCTTGTCTCGCTAGAGGTGTTGTAAGTGTCTTTCAGAGATGCTTGGCATGGTCTCTTATTCATGTTTGTTAACTAACCCAAACAACCCCTCCGACTGTCTTGAAATGACTAGTGAAATGGAACCGCTGCATCACTAGTCCTTAAGGGTTTTTCTGCAGGGAAAGCCATATACCTCTTTCTGTGTCACTTAAGTTCAGATATCCAAGGAACTGGCTGTGCCCTGCACCAAATGTACCCAAAGAATGTATTACCTCTCTGGGCCATGCTGAGTTTTTGCAGCAGCAGGCACAGCAGATGATACGTTCTCAGCAGGAACAGGCCAGGTTCCTGCAGCAGGTGTTCTCCATTTGGAAAGTCTCATTTGCTTCACAGGCTCCGGTGGGCCTGCTTGATACTTGTTCAAGTCATTTGGTCTATATGTGGCTGATGGCTGGACACAGAAATGCATTCGGTATTACAGAGTCCTGAAGTTGGAGAAAGTTAGCAGCATCTGGGTTTTTTGTATTGGAGTATGTTAGTTTCCTATGGTTGCCATAACAAATTACCCCAAATATAGTGGCTTAAAACAACACAACTTAATTCTCTTATAACTCTGGAGGTCAGTAGCCTAAAATGGGTATTAAGAGGCTAAAATGAAGGTGTTGACAGGACTGTGTTCTATAGGTATAGGACAGAATCTGTCCCTTGCCTCCTCTAGCCTCTAGAGGCTTCCCACCTTCCTTGCCTTAGTCTCATCATTCTAACCCCTACTTCTGTTGTCACATCTTCTCTGACCCTCCCACATCTCTCTTTCACTAACCAGGACCCTTGTGATGACATGGGGCCAGCCTAGATAATTTAGGGTATCTCCCCATCTCAAGAGTTTTCATTTAATCCCATCTGCAAAGTCCCTTTTGCCATAGAAGGTACCCTATTCATAAGCTCCACGGAATAGGATGTGGACATCTTTGAGGGAGGCATGATTCTGTCAACACTGGGGAAATCAAAGCGGAAGTACCAGTGCCATGGTGGAATGGACTCTACAGTGTTCTGTGTTGTGAAAACATAAATGGGAATTCATCACTTTTCTATTCACGCCCCCCCGCCCCCCATGTTACTTGCTGTTCCCAAGAGAAAGACCAAAGTCCTTCTGGTGGCCTGTGAGGTCTTATCTGACACCCTTCTGACCTTGCCCCTCTCCACCTCCCCTCTGCTGTGTCCGTCCAGCTACATTGGCCTCCTTGCTGCTCCCCCTGCAGCTCTCAGACTTTTCCCGCCTTTGAGCTCGCCTTCCCTTCCTGGACCCATCTGTCCTTGGTTTCTCCTCTCAGATCTCAGCTCAAATGTCATCCTCACAGAGAGGCCCACCTCTCTACCTCAACCTGAATATCCTTTCTCTCCACCCGCACATGGCCACTGATCACTCTCCAGCTATTGCATATACTGTCTGAATTTATTTGCTTCATTTATTCATTTCTTGCCTGTTTCCCCAGATAAGAATTTACTCTCCCTGAGACCACCCACAGGGTCAGCCTTGCCTACTGCTGGTCCCCCAGCTCTGAGCTCCCTGTCCAGCCACTTTATAGGTGCCCAGCATGGGTGCCCACCAAGACTGGCCAGAGCAGAGCAGGCAGGGCAGAGGGGGCAGGGCAGTCCTTCCCGCCTGGACAGTCTGGAAAAGGCGGGAAAAGGAGGCGGGGAAAACCCAGCAAACAAGCCCCGTGGGTGGGTAGAGTGGGAGCGCTGACACGCCCTGACACTGGGAAGTGGGGCTGGGGGCGATCAGGCTGGCCATCTTAGTGCAGACAGTCTGGAGGCCCTCCACATTCTCCTGCAGTGTTCAGACGTTGATTCGGCCTTCCGTGCCCTATAGGTCGATGTGTGCCAAGGCCGGGGGTGGGAGCCGGTGCTTCAGGAAACGACTTAGTAGGTCTGGGGGGTCTCTACTCTGGGTGTCCGTAAGGTTCCTGAGGGCACGCATGGTGGTGGGGAACCCAGGTCTCACCGCTGGGCCCCGTTGTATGCTGGGCGCACCCAGCAGACCGCGCAGGGTTGGGCGGGACCGTGGCCCGCTGAGGGAAGAAGGGGTGGATTGAGGCGGGGGCGCCCCCCACCCCCTTTCTTGCTTCGCGCCACTGAGGCGGCCAATCACCACGCAGGCGCCCGCCCCCGGCGTGGCCTCCCGCGGTCCCGCAACTCCCAAACGCCGAGTTTTCGCGGGAAAAAAATTAGAGCAGCTGGCAGCGCGGCGGGCAGCGTTGGCAGGCTGGGCGCTCCGAGTCGCACGCACGTCCGCGCAGGGTCCGGGCCACGCACGCGGCTCCATCGCCATCGTCAGGCGGGCCAGGCGCGCAGGCAGGCGAGTAGTCGGGGTGGCCGGAGAAGTGAGCGGCTGGGTGTATTGGGGTGCCAGCCCGGGTTGGGGGTGGAGTGGGGAAATCGGAGCACCAGACGCTTAGACTTTGCAAAACTTTCTGGGGTGGCGAGAGACGCTCGGCCAGCACCGGTGCCCGCGTGCTCCGTGCTGGGGCTACCCCGCACGTGTTCTCGGCATCTGCTTCAGTCCCGCCGGACCTGGGGAGTCGCCCTCGGAATCCCGGACTTGAGCAGAGGCGAGAGGAACATCACTGGAGCCCCGCGGTGGTCGCGCCGGCTGGGTGGGGGAGGGCTGGCAGAGCCGCTGGGGAGGATGTCAGCCTCCGCGCCTGCGCGCGGGGCGCCCCGCGATTCAATTGTCGCGCCCGAACCCGATTTCGCGCGCCCTTAGTTCCCCGGGCACAACTGGGCCAATGGAGAGTGAGAGGGGCGGAGCGGTTTAGTGTGGCAGAGCCAATGAGCGAGGCGTATCAAGTGAAGGGGGCGGAACTTGGCGCGAGGGGCCCCGCCGTCGGTCCCGTTGGTGGGGGTGGGCGTGGGCTCTCTGGCGTGGCCCACGCAGGCGGGAGGGAGGCCAAGAGGGTCTTGGAGGACCTCCGGAGAACGAGAGCCGGCGCGCGGGGCAGTAGTGAGGCCGAGGTGAGTTGCGCGGCGCGCGCGGGGGTGGCCGGGACAGGGCGGCCGGTTGCCATGGCCACCGCGGGGCAGGCCGCGTCGCGCACGCGCGCGGGGGGGTACGGGGCCGCGGGCACCGAGGGTCGGGGGCTTACGTGTCTCCAGTGGGATTCTCCCCCTTTGATTGCACTTAGTTGAGTTTCCAAGGACTTTTCAAGTTCCGACCCGCGCCGGACTTTTGGGTTTCTCTCGTGTCAGTATTCAGTGAATGAATGAATGAAAGGATGTATGAATGAATGAAAAAACTCGACTCCTCGTTTGGCTGTGTCTTTCCCTCTCTGGACGGTGGTGTTTTTTTCTCTAAAGTGGGGTGTGTGTGTGGGTTGGACTGAGTGGTACAAGATGCCGTTTGCCTTCCCCTAATTTCCCCTTCCTCCTAAACTCTACACCGGTGTTAGTCATTATGAATTAAGTCCCTACTTTACTCTGCCAGGCCGTGGGCCCACTCAGGCAATCTGTGGGGACTAGGGAGCTAGGAGAGCGTTCAGGGAGTTTCCTGGGGTCCACAGACTGGACAAAGCAAGGGTGACCCAAGTATGGCAAGGTCTGGCGGTGGCAGCGGCAGCGGCAGCACTGATTGAGGGATCCACTCTGCTCTCTCAGCACCGGCAGGCACCATGTGGATCCAGGTTCGCACCATGGATGGGAAGGTGGCCCACACTGTGGACTCACTCTCCAGGCTGACCAAGGTGGAATTGTTGAGGAAGAAGATCCAGGAGCTGTTCCACGTGGAGCCAGGCCTGCAGAGGCTTTTCTACAGGGGCAAGCAGGTAAACCCGCCCTTCAGGCTGCTCAACATCCAGCACCTTTGTTCTTGTCTCGTCCAGGCTTTGCTTGTCGGCGGCCACCAGCTCATACAACCTCCCCCCCTCATCCGGTCCCGCTTCATGTCTCCACAGAAAACTCAAATGCCTGAGCCAGGAACAAAGGCTTGACTCACAGATTGACACACTGGGCAGGCAGCTGGCACTCAAGTCTGTAGCATTTAGGCTCTTAAACTTCCTTTTTATCTTATTGTTTTTGAAACTCCTCTCAAAGTAATTTCTAGAAAAAGAAGTTGGAGGTGGCTGACTGAGGGCTGATGAATTTCAAGGAAGAGCCTAGAATCTACTCAAACACTAGGACATAAGGGACCGGATTCTTTGAAACACAGTGGTGAGCCACGGCCTGCACCAATTAGGGTTTGACCCCACAGGGAGTGTTTTCTAGAAATTTGAGTCAGCTTATTCAGAGGCAGGAGATGGTGCTTGCAAATCAGGAATTTCTGCCACTCTGGGCCTCCTCTTGGTGGGGCTGCCTGTGAGCAGGGGCTGGTTCTTTCCACAGGGGGTTGGGTGGGGGGGCGGGGTTGTGGCCTCGCTCCTCTGTCTCCTTTCTTTGTGCTCTCTCCTCAGCCCCTTGTGGCATTTAAAATGGCCACCCTTGCTTTAGTGGCTGCCCACAATGGGGACACTTTCTCCAGTGGCACTGGGGGAGGTTTCCAGTTTTGAAGTTGTCTTTGGAGGGAGATGGTGAGATGTACTGTGAGGGAGATTTCCCTGAGTGGGAGAAGATGGTACAACGAAATATAGCTGAGGCCGTCCTAGAGTTGGGTGGTCTGTAGGGACAGTGTTGTAGAGATTGTACTGGATTAAAAGTCTTCAATGGGGCTGTGCGCGCGACTTTGTTTGTCGCATTTTGAACTGGATCCTGCTGCCATCTGGTGTCTAGATTGAAAAATAAACGCTCTGCGCCTGGGCATGATTTTTGGGGGCTGGGAGGATCTTGAGTGCTTACTTGAAATGAGACCTGATGATTAATTTCTTGGGCTTGCCCTGCCTAGGCAGACCTTTAGCCTCCTTCCTGTGAGAGAGAGGATGACTTGAATGTCTTAAGAATGAGTTAACCCAACCCCGCCTGGGGAGGGGAAGCCAATCCCGCAATCTTGGGGCTTTGACTGCAATTGCATGAGTGTTGAGAAAAGGCACGGCTGTGAGTGGAGCTCTGCTGGGCTGCGGTCTCCCACCCATTCCAACGGTGGCTCATTTTTGTGGCATCCACACTGGTTCTGGTTTGCCATTCCGTCTATTTGTTCAGCAGAGGTCCTTCCATAGTTTCTGAAAACTCCTTGCATATGCCTGCTAAACAGTTCATGGCATGTTGCAGAGGCAGATTGGATCGAGTCCCCTCAAGTTTGCATGTATTTTTGATTGCATGTTGTATGCCAGACACTGTGTGTTTTAATTTTCACATTTCAAACATGCAGAAAAGTTGAAAGAACTACAAACACATAAACCTCTACCCCTAGATTTTACCACTGATACTTTGTGTAGTCACTTTATCACACAGCTCTCTGTTGCTCTATCTGTCTACCAATTTGTCTTACTTTTTGGGATGCATTTCAGATTAAGCTGCAGTCACTAGTTCACGTCACCTTTAGACACTAAGCGTGCCTGTCATTAATTAGAGTTCACTATTTGTGTTTCTCATTGCTTTTTTAGATAAGGTTCATATATATCAAGACACATCTTAAGCAGGCCATTTGGAGTTATGACAAATGTCTACACCCATATAACCAAACCCCTATCTCTCTCTATTCGTTACATAATGTTTGATTCATTCAAAAGTCTTCTTAACATCTGTGTAAGTTACAAAGCATGATTATGACAGCAAAACCAAGATGCGTTAGACAGCATACATTGTGCCTTTAATCTTAGGCTGTTGACGATGAGATGCAGGGCTGTTAACCTTGCCTCCTCAGTGCAGCTTTTATAATTATCAGAAGGTACCTGGGAAATGTAATTTCTGTAACTGCTGCCCATTCTCCTTCCTGGTGCCCCATTTTGCAGCTTTGTGAGGGAGCATGTAGTTTTCTTGGTAAGGAAGCCAGGTCTCAGAGCCTGATGCAATTTCCCCAAGGTTGCCTGGCCAGGAACTGGCCTGGTCATAGGAAGTGTGGACATTGAACAGGAGGGTGGGTGACAAAGGCACAAAAGCAGCAGCTTGAAGCAAGTAAAGTCTGCAAACAGACTGGAATAATAGCGTTATAGAGCAGTACAGTTTCCAGTGGGTGCGAGAGAGCTGTTGGGTTTCTAGAATGTTCTAGAGAGTCTACACAGTCTTTTGTATTCTTTTTAAAGGAAATATGGCATAGCAATTCAAGTTCTGCCGTGAGGTTGACTGAGACCGTAAAGCAGAACATAGCTGAGTCTTCAGGATATGGGAGGGTTTTGTGGCAGCTTATTTAGGCTGAATAGGTTGGCGGTTATGTCGCTCAATTGGCGGAAATACAGGGAGCATAGGGGGAAGCGACTTTGGTGGTAGGCTTTGCCTGGGCAGGGATAGACATCTGGCACTTGTTTTTTGGCTGTCCGTAAAAATAACAGTAGCTGTCATTTGTGGCATAGCCTTGAACAGGCTCAGGTACAATGCTTTCTTTGCACTTTACGTAATCTTCCCAAGCTTCCTGGCCAAGTGGCTTGACCATTGATTCTGTTCAGATGGGGCTAATTTTGTGAACCTACCACACCTGTGGCCTGGTAAGAATTCAGGAGGTAATAGATGTGAAGGAATGAGCCCCATGCCTGGCTTATGATAAAGGTGCAGTAAATCAACTCAGAGTTTGTCCCCCTGGGCACTCCTGACACGGGGGGCCAGGTCATTCTCTGCGGGGGCTGACCTGGGTACTGAGGTGTTGAGCAGCATCCCTGGCCCCAACCCACTCAGTGCAAGGAGCACCCCCAAGTTGTGACAACCACAAGTGTCCCCAGCATTACCAAGTATCCCCTTGGGGACAGAATCAGCCCCCAGCAGAGAACTACTAATTTTGTAGGTAACTTAGGAGAATAGCTAAATTGGCCTTGCTAGGCTCAAAGGCTTTGTTAAGGGCAGAGGCTCCGAAAGATCAGTTGAAATGATATCCAGGGAATAGCCTTGAGAGAGTTGTTTATGTCACAGTGACCCACCAAATATACCTGCTGTATTCGCCTTTCCAGAACTTTCTAGAAGATATCTTCCTGAAGGGCTGGGTCAGACAGCAAATAAGATAGTCCCCTCGCTGAGATGTGTCCTTAGTCTGCTTGAGGGACGGTCCCCTTTTCCCCGGAGAGCTCCCAGCTGGAGGGCATGCCCTCTAAGCCAGGGGTTAGCAGACCTTGTCTGTAAAGAGCTTGGTAATAGATGTTTGTCTCTGTGGGACTGCTTACCTCTGCCGCTGGAGCAGGAAGGCAGCCATAGATGATATGTAAACGAAAGGGCAGGGTCCAGTGAGGGCCAATACATCTTATTTATAAAATCAGGTGCAGGCCAGAGCTGTCATGCAGGCTGCAGTGTGCCAATTACCCTGTGCTTTGACCCAGCTTCCGAGTTGGTGCAACCAGGTTTTACTGTCAGAAATAGCACTGCTGTGGAATGTGCTAGAACAGGTTCCCCAGGGCACCATGACCTTTTGGTCTCAGGCGCCCTTGCCACCCTTCAAAGCAGTCAAGGATCCCAAAGAGCTGATGATGGGATTGGATCTTTCTTTTTTTGTTGTATTAGAAATTAGAATTCATGTGTGCATGTTTCCTCAGTCATCTAAACGGTGGTACCATCCTGTGTCATGTGGGCTCCTCTGTACCCCTGCGAAACTATAGGAGTGAAAATGGCACAGCATGGTAACATCACAAGAGTTTTGGCCTTACAGATCACTAAAATGTTGCTCCAGAGCATAGCCTCAGCTTTGGCCCTGCAGGGTCAAAGGGCAGTGCTCGTCTGCCACGCCCACCTTGCCCTCTCCCTGTCTGTCACTGAGCTTTGGTTCTGGTTCGTTCTGCCCGCTCCTTCTCGGGTGGGCAGTTGTGTCACCTCTGCTGTGGCTGGGATCCTGCTCCGTGTGTTCTTCTCTCGTGCCTCTCTGTTCGTCTGTCCGACCTGGACCTCAGGTTGCTGCCAAGGCCTGGAGGCCAAGGTGGGAAGGTGGGCGGGCCGGGGCTGCAACCCTTGGAAGAGGGGCAGAGTGCTTTCTCACTTCCTCCCCCAAGTTCTCTTTCCTCCTCCAGCTCGGGGTCCATCTTGGTACAAGGCACACACCCTCTTCATTACAACCCTGCAGTCAAGTTTATGTCTCCTCTACCTTTTACCCAAATTGCCACCTCTTAAGTCAACCAGAGAACCAACACATGCTGCACCCGGTGGCATTTATTTCCTTCTCCTTTGTGTTTTGGGGCAGCACTCAGCACCCTGAAAAGTATCGCCAGAAAATGTCATGAGGGGCAGAAAGTGGGCAGAAGCAATAGGCATGGTGAGCTTTTAACACTAGTTTCCAGAAGGAACTGGGTTCTTAATTGTTAAATATCATATATGTGTTTATTTCGATTTACACAATGCCCATGGCATAAAATTCCAAATGTCCAGGAAGCATACTTGCATTAAAAGAGAGAGATATAAATTTCATAGGCAGTTTTGACCTGAATCTGTAGTACAGGGTTTTTTACCCAAAACCACAGGTAGTCAGTCAGTCCTCCATATTCGCAAGTTTTGTATCCACAGATTTGACCAACCGCAGAACAAAAATATTCGGAGGGGGGAATCCCAAAAAGTTCCAAAGAGCAAAACTTGAATTTGCCATGTGCCAAGCACTATGCTGAATCCATGTGAATGCAGGGATGTGTCGGCGCACCCTGCTGTGGCCTGTACGCAAATTATAGGTTACGTGCAAATATGCCATTTTACATGTGGGACTTCAGCACCCGACGATTTGAGTGTCCTTTGAGGTTCAGAACCCAATCCCCTGCAGATAATATAGGTACTACTACTTATTTTACTACAGGCAATTTAAGGGAAATTTTAGTTATACAGGATTTTAACTTTAGGCTTAATTTTAACGTTAGACCCTCTAATGTAAGGTGCTGCTTACTTGTCATTCAGTTTTTATAGCTCTTATTAACGCTGTTAGCCTTGGTTGGAATTTCAGGATCTCGATAACAAGCCCAAACCTTAGACTGTTCGGCCACCTCACGCAGGCACATTGACATGAGGCAGGCCTGGGCCCAGCCCCTCTCTCTTGTGGTTCCTGCGTGTTTCTGGTCAGCTTTGGGGAAGCAGGTTGGGGGGAGAGGGGCACGCAGTACACCTCACCATAGCAGACAGTTGTGCAAGTTTCTTCCTGCTGACTGCAGGGCCCTTCTGGAAAGTTCCAGAGGTGACCTCTGGACGCCGCTGGATTGGCTTGTGAATTATGTCCTGGAGGTGGAACTTGATGCCAGCCTGACCCAGCCCGAGTGCCCCCTTTGCTGCCTACGTCCTGCCGTTTGTGCCTCTGTCCACACCCTTGCCAAGGGCAGGCACTTGACCTCCCAACCTGTTGTGGAAGTGAGGGACCAGGTCAGGCATGGTGGGAGATGTTGTCAGTAGGAAAATACCACAAGGAAGGGGTGGTGTGGATGCTGAACCCAAATCAAAGATCCCCCTGCCTCTACGTGACCCTTCCTTTCCGCTGTGCTCTGTGCCTCCAGGGGGTCCCTCTGATGCATTCTGCCTCCTTTCTTATCTCTCCCACCTTGGCCTCTCTTCTCTCCAACTCGCCCTCTGACCAGTGTTCTTTGTGAAACAAATCTGACCGTGTGCTCCCTTCTGGCTTGGCTTTGCCACTGCCTCTCCATTGTCCGGGTGGCTGGGTTATTTCCCATCCTCTGAAGTCATCCTCCTCTCTTGATGTCGGTCAGAGACACACCTGTTTTGTTGCGTTTCACTGTGAAGCGGCAGTTTTGCTTGCAAATAATGCTTCTATGAATTTACCAGGTAGGAACACTGGTGCCCATATCCCTCAAACACATGTGAGGGTCTCTCTACCTTACTGGTTCTCACGTGGGGGCAACTCCCCTCAGGAGACACTTGGCATGACGAGGTGCTCGTGGCATTGTGTGTGGGCAGGGGCCAGGGATGCTGTTCATGCTCAAAGTGCCCAGGATGGCCCCTCACAGAGAATGATCAGTCCTGAATGAGAGGGTGTGCCTAACCATGGAGGTGCTGGGCCCCAGGGTGCGAATGTCTTGTTTGTCCACCTGGCTTGCCCTCTTCTGATTTCTCTGACACAGTTATAACAGGGATATTTGTCTCTCTCCATCTTTTTTTAAAATTAATACACTTTATTTTTGAAAGCAATCTTAGTTTCTCAGCAAAATGTAAGGCAGGTTCAGAGATTTCCCATATACTCACACAACCTCCCCAATGTCAACATCAGGCACCAGAGTGGTGCATTTGTTACAGTTGATGAACCTATATCAACACATTGTAGTCACCCAGTGCCTGTAGGTTACATTAGGGTTCACTCTTGATTAACCCTAAATTCTGTGTGCTTGCACAAGTATATGATACTGTATACCCACCTTTACCGTATCACACAGAGTAGTTTCACTGCTCTAAAAATCCTCTGTGCCCCACCGATTTATTCTCTCTCCCCCTAGGTTCCTGGAAACTACTGATCCTTTTACTGTCTTCATATTTTTGCCTTTTCCAGAATGTCATATACAGATGCTCCTCGACTTAACGATGGGTTACATCCTGATAAACTCATCCTAAGTTGAAAATACTGTCAGTCAAAAATGTATTTAGCCCTGACTGGTGAGGCTCAGTAGGTTAGGCATTGTCGGCAAGGGTGCTTGTTTGATTCCCAGTCAGGGCACATGCCTGGGTCAGGGGTCATGTCCCCAGTTGGGAGTGTGAGAGAGACAACCGTGATGGATGTTTCTCTTTCTCTCTTCCTTACCTTCTCTCTAAAAATAAATAAAATCTTTTTAAAAATGTATTTGATATACCTAACCTACGGAGCACCACAGCTTAGCCCAGCCCACCATCGCCAATGCACTTACATTAATGACCTCTGATTGGGCAGAATCCTCTCGCTGCTGCCGCCCAGCACCACGGGAGCGTATCAGACCGCTTGTCGCCAGCCTGGGACGAGATCAAATTCAGAATTCAAAGTACAGTTGTTGCTGAATGCATATTGCTTTTGCACCATTGAAAAATCCAAAAATCATTAAGTTGAACCATCGTACGTTGGAACCATGTATCCTCTTTGGACGACATTCTTTCCTTTTTTCCTTTTTTTTTTAAAAAAAATCTTTATTGAAATTAAACTCATACCATACAATTCACCCCTTTAAAGTATGTATTAACGTTCAATATTCTGCTGTATATAGCAATTTGCAACCATCACCACAGTAAATTTTAGGACATTGTCGTCACCTCCAGAGGAAACCCTGTAGCTTTTGGCTGTCACTGCCCTATTCTCCATCTTCCTCCCCCAGCCCCTGGCAACCATTTACTCACTTCCTGTCTCTGTAGATGTGCCAGTTCTGGACATTTCCCATAAATGGAATCACACACTGTGGCCTTCGTGTCCTGTCTCTCTCACTGAGCATCATGTTTTCAAGGTTCATCTACACTGGAGCGAGTGTCAGCGCTTCCTTCCTTTTCATGGCTGAGCGATACTCCAGTGTGTGCATGGACCACACTGTGTTTAGCTCTTCCATTATCCATGGACACTTGGGTTGTTTCCATCCTTATGTTACTGTAAAACATGCTGCTCTAAACATGGTGCGCAGGTTGATTTGTCTCTTCCTTTCTGTTCATGTCACCTGTAACCTGCTGACATGGCTGTCCCGTGTTGTCCTGTGTTGCATCTGAGTGTCCTTGGCTTCCCTGTGGTACTTGGGCAGCACCAGGCACCTTAGAGGCCCTCACTTTGTCTGGGTTCGCAGGTAGAGTGGGCCCTGGATGTCTAGGGGGGGTCTCAGAGGGGCCCTGGCAGCCTCTGCAGCTGCAGGCAAGTGATGATGTGTTCAGATACGTTTTTCTTGGGGAGAGGGGTCATCGTCAGATTCTCAGGTTCGAGTTGAAAGAATAACAACCACTGGACCGAAGGATGACCTTGGACCCCGGAACTTGCTTCTACTGTGACCCCCGACCCAGTGCTGTTTGCATATTAATGACAGCCAGCCCTTGGTAAACATTGGGAAGGAAAGTTGTTTTTTTTTGGCCTACGGTTTTTCTCTCTTCCTTTTTTTCTTAAGGGCATTGCTTCTGAACCAGGCTGTTCTACCCAAAGGGGACACTGGGAGTTTGGAGACATCTGTGGTGGTTTTGACTGGGGGTGCCCTTGGCATTCTGTTTGAGAGCCAGGGATGCTGCTCAACACCCTGCAGTGCTCAGGACGGCCCCCCACAGAGAATATCCAGCCCCATTGTCACAGCGCTGAGGGCACAGACCTGCCTTCGGGGCACCTGGGTAGAACACAGTGCACTCGCAGGTCCTTGCTGGCGTGCTGCAGGGTAGTTTCTAATAAAAGGCAACTCCTTGGCCTTTTGTGCCACTGAGATGCAGCCCAGGAGACAAAACTCCTTCACACCTGCCAAGTCACACCCAGGGGTGCGGATTGCTGAGCTTTGCTGCCCACAGGGTCCTGTTAGCAGGTGTCTAGTGTGGACAGATTTAGCACGAAGGCGTTAATAGAGAGGGGTGGAGTTAATGGATCTGAGAAGCTGCCCTGAGTGGGTAGGATCTGAGCCAGAGCCTTACAAAAGAGACTGGTGGGTAGTTGGGGTGTGTGTCTCCTTGGGCTCACATAGGCTGGGGGTCTTCTCCCTGGGCACTGCTGATACTGGGGCCAGATCACTGTCTGTAGGGGGGCCATCCTGGACACTGTGGGAGGTTTTGCAGCACTTCTGGCCCTACCCACCCCATTGTGACAACCATAGATGTCCCCAGACATTGCGTGCCAGTGTCCCTTGTGTGCTGAATCACCCTCAAGTGAGAATCAATGATAAAAGACCATGCTTGTTTACTGTAACAAAAATTGCAAAACGCAAAGTACTAAGAAAATCTCCCCTGACACCTGATGTGTGTCCACCAGCACAGCAGGGTTATGCTGTGTGCTGTGTCCCAATGTATGGGACAGTGACCATATGACACTGGGAGTTCTCATTTGAGAAGATCTGGGGACCCTGGGGAAGGGGTATCACTGTGCATGCCCAAGGAAGGGACACGTTCTATCGTCCCATGATCCAAGGGCAGATTTGGTCCTTTGTGCAGCATGTTCCCATTGCCTGTTACCAGCAGACATACTGAATGTTTGATGAGTGAGACCCCTGTTTCTGTATCTCTGCAGATGGAGGATGGCCACACCCTCTTTGACTACGATGTTCGCCTGAACGACACCATCCAGCTCCTGGTCCGGCAGAGCCTTGTGCTCCCACCCAGCAGCAGCAAGGAGAGAGACTCTGAGCTTTCCGACACGGATTCCGGCTGCTGCCTGGGCCAGAGCGAGTCGGACAAGTCCTCAAATAGTGGCGAGGTGGCTGTGGAGGCGGACGGGAAGACGGGCTTAGCGGATGAGGATGTATGGGATGAGACAGAGCTGGGCCTCTACAAGGTGAGGCTCCTGCAGAAGCTTTGGGGTCAGGGGTGCTCCCTGCCTGGCCGGCCTCAGCACCCCTAGGGGCACTGCCTATGCCCCTCTGTCTCCTTTGCTTCCCCCCTGCCCAGCAGTAAGCTGATGAGGGCTGGCCAGCTCCCCTGGATCCCTGTGGCTGGGCACCCCCAGTCCTGCTGTGAAAACCTCCTGAAGTTTCTTTGGCAGAAACATATGCTCCTCCAGTTTCCTTTCTGTTCCCTGAGGCAGAATCCTGGGTCCGTGCCCGCAGGTGTCTTCTCTGTGGCCTTTGTGGCTGTGAAATTTGAGTTCACTGTCACCCTCTTAAGATCATGAAATTTTGCATAATGATCTGGATTCCTAGCTTCTCTTGAGCAACAGGCAGTTATGACCTCCCTGGGCTGATCCTGCTCCCAGGGACACCAGGGACACCTGTGGTTGTCACGACTGGGGGTGCTGCTGACATCAAGTGGGTGGGGGCCAGGGAAGCTACTCAACACCTCGCAGTGCCCAGGACGGTCCGTCACAGAGTGACCCAAGTGTCCACAGCGCCGCAGCTGAGAAACCCTTGTTCCAGGCATTTGGGTTTGCCTCCTGGGGGGGGGTGCGGGGACCCGTTCCTCAGGGTCCCCAGATCCTCTCAAATGAGAACTCCCAGGCCGAGAATCAAACCAGGCCTTTGTCAGTTTGCTGATTTTCTTTCCTGGGTTGGACGAGAAAATTTCCTTTTTCCTCACAGGTCAATGAGTACGTTGATGCTCGGGACACAAACATGGGAGCTTGGTTCGAGGCGCAGGTTGTCAGGGTGACAAGGAAGGCACCATCGCAGGATGAGCCCTGCAGCTCCACCTCCTGTTCCACATTGGAAGAAGACGTCATTTATCACGTGAAATACGATGAGTGAGTGTCATTACAGGCAGGGGCGTCTGGGGCGTTGGCCCTGTGTATATGGGGCCTGGAGTTTGGTACAGCCTTGGGGATGATGGTCAGGGTTCAAGGCCTCTACCCTCATGCTTCCAAACCACACAGGAGGCCATGCCCCGGAGGAGTAGCGACCCCTCCGCAGGACTCCTTGGGGAACTCTGATCTTTCAGTCAGAGGTGCCTCCCCCTCCCCCCGCCCATCTCCTGTTTTATTTTGTTCATACCACATATCACTGGTACTATATGAAACTGTCTTACATACTTGTCTCTCTCCCTCACTGGAATGCACGAGTGTTTACTGAGCACTTGCTGTGTGTCAGGCCCTGAGCTGGGCACAGGGGTCCTTGCCTACGAACACAGAGGGTGTCTGAGCAGGCTCAGGCTGCCATAACAGCAACCATGTGCTCGGCAGCTTCAGCAGCAGACATGTATTTGCTCACAGTTCTGGAAGTTGGAAGTCCAAGATCAAGGTGTTGACGAGGTTGCCTCCTGGTGAGGACTGTCTTCTTGGCTGTCTTCTCACTGTGACCTCACATGGAAAGACAGAGCTCTGGTGTCCCCTCCTCTTAGAAGGACACCAACCCCATGAGATTAGGGACACAACCATATAACCTCATTTAACTTTTAATTACCTCCCTAAACACCCCATCTCCAAATACAATCACATTGAGGGTTAGGGCTTCAGTATGTGAATTGGAGGGGGGTCCGTTTCAGTCCCTAGCAGAAGGCAGGCCTGCCTGCCTGCAGTGAGCTCCCGTTCCGGGGGGCACAGGGCCTTCATCTGGTTCTCTGCAGGGGCCCGCCTGCCTACCCCAGTTTCTGGCACATTCTAAGCTTAACTGTGTGAAGATTATTAAAGTAATTGAATAATGACTCACAGTAGACCCAAGATTCCTATCCTCTTTGTGAGGGGATGCAAACGAAGGCCTGAGGGCTAAGTCTGGCTCTTGGCCTGTTTTTGTAAATGAAGCTTTATTGAAGCACATCAATGCCCATTTGTTTGCATATTGTCTGTGACTGCTTTCTTGGTGACAGCAGCACAGCTGAGTATTCATGATAGAGACCTTCTGGCTCACAAGGCCAAAAATATTTGCTCTCTGGCCCTTTACAGGAAAAGTATGGCAACCTTTGTTCTTGGTGGTTTACCAGCAAAAATAATGAACACTAGGCGATGTAGCTATGCATAATAGATTTGGGGTTGTCCCCTTACAGTTGAAGTTTAACTTTGTTTCCGATAGAAGGTTTCTTTCAGCCATATTATTTTATGCCTGTTATGAGGCCTCTGGGATATTCCTGCATGCCCGAAATAATGACTTCTGTTGTATCGTAATATCCGATGTATTGTATTTACATAAATGAAGTAATGCATTTGCTTCTGTGAAAACCATTTTTAATACGTGGATGTAGAAAAAGGTTTTTTCCCCCAAGTTTCCTTGTGTATCAGTTTCCTAGGGCTGCCATAACAGAGTACCACAGACTAGGTGGCTTACAACGACAGTTCATTCGCTTACAGTACTGGGGCCCGAAATCAAGGTGTCATCCTGACCATGACTTTTCTGAAACTCGTAGGGGGAATCCTCCCTTGCCTCTTGCAGCTTCTGGTTCTGGCCAGCAGTCCTGGGCTTGTGGCCACATTAATCTCTCTGCCTTCATGTGTCATTCTCTGTGTCTGTGACTTTTTTCCTCCATAAGGACACCAGTTATAACGGATTAAGGTAGTGTGACCTCTTAACTTAATTACATCTGCACAGATCGTAGTTCCAAATAAGGCTCCGTTCCCAGGTGCCAAGGGTTAGACCTCAAGCATATCTTTTTGGGGGACACTGATCAACCCATAATACCTTCTATAATGGAAACCTGTCTTCTGTACCTGTGTATTTTTGACACCAGCAAATGAAATCCTCGGGGAGGGGCTTTACTTGCTGCTATGATGAGAATAAGCCACATCTGTGGTGGGCGTGGCCGCCTCCTCTTCCTCACTTCTTTCTCTGAGGAGGGAAAGTGGTCTGGTCTGTCTTTGGGGTCTGAACGTGAGGTTTTTCTCCCAGCTACCCAGAGAACGGTGTGGTCCAGATGAGCTCACGGGATGTCCGGGCCCGTGCCCGACACATCCTCAAATGGCAGGAGCTGGAGGTGGGCCAGGAGGTCATGGTCAACTACAACCCCGACAACCCGAAGGATCGGGGCTTCTGGTATGATGCAGAGATCGTGCGGAAGCGTGAGACCCGGACAGCGCGGGAGCTGTATGCCAACGTCAGGCTTGGGTGAGTGACTGTCCAGCCAGCGCTTTCCGGGCACGGCCCTCAGCCTCCACCTTAGCCTCCCCTCTGGGGTTCCACTCCAGCTTCCTGCTCACCCACTGGTGATCTTTCTAAGACTGACCTCCTCAGGCCCCTTCTCGGGGTACTGTGTCTGAACCCCAGGTGATTTCAGCCTTCCTTGTTCTCCTTTATTTGCTGTTTTAGATTTGGCAAGTAGGTAATAACTTCAAGTGCGTCAAAATCCAGAAGGTCCTGAAAACCACACAGTGAATTGTTTTTCTTCTCTCTGTCCTCTGGTCACCAGCTCTCCTGTCTGGAGACATGACTGTTCCCATGACCTTCCAGGGACATTCTGTGTATTAATAAGCATAAACATACACATAGACAAGCCCACATAGGGGTGTGCTCCACACCCAGGATCAGCAGACTGCAGCCCAGGTCCAGCCCTTCGCCTCTTTTGGAAAATAAAGTTTTATTGGCTCACAGCCGTGCCCCTCTGTTTGCTGATTATCAATGGCTCCTTTTGTGTTGCAAGTGCACATTTGAGCAGTTGGGAAAGAGATGGAAAACATTTACTTTTATGGCTATTTGGAGAAAAAGTTTGCTGAGCTCAGAAAAAGTTTGCTGAGCTCTGCTCTACTTTACCTTTCTCTGTGTGTGTGTATTAAATTAATACATAACAGAAAGATTATCAGCCTAACCATTTTTAAGTGTATATTTTAGGGGCATTAAATACATTCACATTGTTGCACAGCCATCAACACTAATCCCATTTCCTGGACTTTTTCATCATCCCAGACAGTAACTATAACCAGTAAACAGTAGTGTTTAATGGATTAAACACTAACCTCCCCACCTCCCCCGCCCCGCAGCCCGACACCCACCGTCTTCTTTCTGTACCTCCTTCAGGGACCTCCTACGAGTGGAATCGCGCAGTGTTTGTCTTTTTGTGTCTGGTTTATTTCACTCAGCATAACGTCCTCAAGGTTCATCCATGCAGTAGCTTGTGTCAGACCTACCTTTTCAGTGGCTGAATAACATCCCGTGTTAAATAGTGAATATAGATGCAAATATCTGGACAACAGTGTCCCCAGCACAGATAGCAGGTGCAAAGGTTCTGGAGCAGGGTCATTTCTAGTATATTTGTGGCTCAGTGAGGAGGCCAGAGGGCTGGAGGGAGGAAGGGGTGGAGACTGGATGCCTCCATGTGCCTGGACGTTCAGGGTATGGCCTGAGTGGCGCAGAACCTGGTGTGTATTCCCTTATTACTGGCAGTCACGGGGGTTTTGAGCACAGGAGCCACACGCTTTGACCGGCGATTAAGAATCTCGGCTCTGGCAGCAGAGCAGGGAATGGACTGCAGGGGGCAGCATGGCAGCAGGGATACGGGGAGGAGGCTGTGCCAGTGATGTTACTGTGAAAAAATAACCAACTTTTTGTTTTCACTGCTTTTCTCTATTTTCTTGTTTCCGATTACACGGATTTCTGCTTTTGTCTTTTTACTTTTCTCCTTTCCTTGGATTGATTTTGATGTTCTTTTTCTAGTTTCTTGAAGTAGCAACTTAGTCTAGTGATCTGAGAAATTTCTTGTTTTCTAATATAAGCATTTAGTGCTATAAATTCCCCCTCTAAGCACTGCCTTCCTTAACTGCTTTCCACACGTTCTATGTTATATATTTTTGTCTATTCAGTTCTCTGTTTCTTTTGTTTTCAGACTTTCTCTTTGACTCCTGACTTATTTAGAAGTGTGATGCTTAATTGCCAAATGTTTGGAGATTTTTTGGAGAAATTTATATTTTGACTTCATTATGTCCAAAGAACATATCCTATATGATTTCAGCTCTTCTAAATTTTTAAAAGGTTTTACTATTTATTTTTCAGAGAGAGGGGAAGGGAGGGAGAAAGGGAGAGAAACATCTGTCAGTTGCCTCTTGCACGCCCCCAACCAGGGACCTGGCTGGCAACCCAGGCGTGTGCCCTGACCAGGAACTGAACCAATGACCTTTTGGTTTGCAGGACAACACCCAACCCACTGAGTCACACCAGTCGGAGCTCAGTTCTAAATTTCTTTATGTTTATTTTATGACCCAGAATAGGGTCTAGCTTGGTCAATATGCCATAGCTGTTTGGGGAAAAAAAATTAAGTATTTTCTGTTGTTGGGTAGAATATCCTCTATATCAGTTAGATTGTATTGGTTGAGTGTGTTCACATCTTCTCATTCTTTCTGGGTTTCTGTCTAGTACTTCTGTCAGTTGATGAGGGGCTGTCCAAGATCTTAGCCCTAACCGTGGATTTGTCTATTTTTCCTTTGAGCTTCATGATTAAGGGACTGTTGTTTGGTGTGTACACATTTAGAATAGTTATGTCTTCCTGGTCGATAGGTCTTTTTATCACTATGTGACGTCCTTCTTTGTTTCTAGTAATTTTCTTCGCTCTGAAGTCTACCTTATCTGAGGGGTGGTGTCATGTGTGCGTGTGTATTGTAAATATACCTGCTTTTTTTTAAAAGTTAATGTTTGCAAGATGTATCCTTTGTTTTATCCTTTTACTTTCAACCTGTGTATTTGGATTTGAAGTGAGTTTCTTGTAAACAGCATATAATTGAGTCATTTTTTCATCTACTTTATAAGTCTTTGCAACTTAGTTTTCATATTTAGACTATTTACATTTAAAATAATTGATGGTGGCCCTGGCCGGGAAGCTCAGTCGGTTAGAGTATCATCTGATATGTGAAGGTTGTGGGTTCAAATCCCTGGTAGGGCACATGCAAGAATCACCCAGTGAATGTATAAACAAGTGGGACAACAAATTGATAGTTTTCTCTCTCAAAATCAATTTTAATAGAAAATTAATTATTTGTATGTTAGTGGTTACGCCTATCATTTTATTTTTTTAATGTCTTTTGTTTCTGTTTTTCTTTCTCTGTCTTTCCTGCGGGTTACTTAAATATTTTTTAGGATTCTGTCTTGATTTATTTTCGTCTTTGGAGTGTGTTGCTTTGCGTAGTTTTTTAGTGGTTTTTCTGAATTTTACTATATAAACATGTGACATACTGGTGTCACTTTTTTCCCCCTCCATTTGCCTCTTGTTCACCCAGACTGGTGTCACTTTTGTCCTTTGAGTGAAGTGTGCAAATCTTCTATTTAGGTTCTTTTATGGTCACTTATTTTTTATTTTTTATTATTGATTTGCGATAGATCAATTTGTTGTTCCAGTTATTTGTGCATCCATTGGTTACTTATTGTATGTTCCCTGACCGAGGATCAAACCTACAACCTTGGTATATCAGGACGATGCTCCAACCAACTGAGTTACCTGGCCAGGGCTGGGTCACTTATTTTCTTGTGTATGGGATGGTGTTATGATTTTTATGTTAGTCATCACATAGGATTTGGGAAACTCTATGGAGGATAATCTATTGTAGGTATACATATTTCTGCTCTTCCTGTTTTTTTTTCTTTTTTAATTGATTTGAGAGAAGAACATCGATCCGTCGTTCCAACCATTTATGTATTCATTAGTTGACTCTTGTACGTGCACTGGCCTGGGATCCAGCCGGCAGCCTTGGCATATCAGGGTCTTAAAACCAACTCAACTACTTGGCCAGGGCATCTTTCTGTTTTTTTAGTTTTTTTCTTTTGTGCCGAGTCTTTCCTTTATAACTTCTTTTTTAGTTGGAGAACTCCCTTTAATTATTTTGTGAGAGTGGGGCTGCTAACACCGAGTTCTTTTCGTTTTCCTTCATCTGAAAATGCTACCAACCCTGCCCCGTCGCACTGATGTAACTGCTGCACATCCAGCCATTTCATCTGTGAATACTTCAGAACAGAGTTCTTACAAATCACTCTTGATGAATGAAGAAATGTAGCTATCATGCTATTATTACAACCTAACAGTAATTTTTAAATAACTCAAATCCGATCACTGTTCAATCTTCCAATTTATCTCTCTCTTTTTTTTAACTATTTGATTAGGATCTAAGTAATGGCCACAGATTTCAGTTAGGTTGATATGTATAGTTTAAATCTTTTATCATGAGGTTTCCTGTCCTTCCCTTTTTTTACCCCTTTTTCTTAACAGTTTATTTGAGGAAACTTGGTCATTTGTCCCATGGAACTGCAGTCTGGATGTTGTCACCTCCATTCTCATGGTGTCATTTCCTGGGACTTGGTGGATAGATCTGGACCTGTGGTGCCTAGTTCCATAGCCATGGGGCGCATATGCTACTAAGCACTTGAAATGTGGCCAGTGCCACATGAGTGTGAAACATACACTGGATTTTGAGACTTAGTGCTGAAAAAAACTATAAAAAAAGCTATTAATAATTCTTTACTATTCATTGCATATTGAAATAATGAATATGCATTATTCATATTTGCATATGGGGTGGAGTTGGTAGCATTTTCAGATGAAGGAAAACCAAAAGAACTCGCTGTTACGTACATTTTGTGTATGTACATTGGGTTACAGAAAACATACTCACACCAGTTCCATCTGTTCTTACTTTTTGAATGTGCTTACTAGGAAAAGCGGAATTCCCGTACCTGTGTCACATATGTTTGTGGCTTGTGGTCATTTCTTTTGGAAGTTGTGGATGTAGATGTCAGATCAACTCTGGCGGACATTTTAACTTCGAGGAGCTTTTGTATTTCGATGGTGCTAAATTGATCAGACTTTACCTTTATGATGTTTGCACGATGTGCCCTGTTTAATTGGCTTTTCCTGCCTGAAGGTTTGAATTTACTTTCAGTGCATCATGTGATGAAACTATTTTATATACTGCTTTTTAAAAAAAAAAGATTTTGTTTTTATTTTTTGAGAGAGGGGAAGGGAGGGAGAAAGAGGAAAAGAAACATTGATGTGAGAGGGAAACATGGATTGGCTGCCTCTCGCGCACCCCCAACTGGAGCAACACAGGCATGTGCCCTGACTGGGAATCAAACCAGTGACATTTTGCTCTGCCCACTGAGCCACACTGATCAGGGCTATGTGCTGCTTTCTTTTATCTTGTGTTTGATTTGGTAGAATTTGAATTGGTAAGGGAAGTAGCTATGTGAATGCTCAAGGGCCCTGGAAAGCCTCTTATTTAATACCACTTGAGGTGCTCGTACGCTCCAAGAATGTGCTAGGTAGCCAGGTCCTCTTGGAGGTGCCTCAGCAGGGTGGGCCAGCTGGAACGTTTGAATGGGGCTTGTTTCTCACAGGGATAATTCTCTCAATGACTGTCGGATCATCTTTGTGGATGAAGTTTTTAAGATTGAGCGCCCAGGCGAGGGGAGCCCTGTGGTTGAAAACCCGATGAGAAGTGAGTTGTGATTATGCCCTTCTGTCTCCCATGCTGAATGTGGGGTGGGGGCTCCTGTTCCTTCTTTTTTTGCCCGGCCCTGCCGAGCTGACCCTGGCTCTTGTGTCCAGGGAAGAGCGGACCCTCCTGCAAGTATTGCAAGGACGACCAGAGCAAGACCTGCCGGGTGTGTGCCTGCCACCTGTGTGGGGGCAAGCAGGACCCTGACAAGCAGCTTCTGTGTGATGAGTGCGACATGGCCTTTCACACATACTGCCTCTGCCCGCCCCTCAGCAGTGTCCCGACGGAGGACGAGTGGTGAGTGGATGCCTGACTGCTCCAGTGATGGGCTCGGGGCTTGGTGCTCAGCTCCCCGGGGCAGGGGGCTGGTGGTGCCAAGAAATGATGACACTAACATCGTCTGCCACCTAGTAAATCCCCAAGGGGCAACGAGAGATATGGGGCGAGGGGACATCCTGTGTTCCAAGTGGGGCCTAGGCCTCAGGGTAACTGCGGGAAGGAGAGTCTGCAGGTGGGAAGCAGAGCATTGAGCATCTCGGTATCGCCTAGGAGCTGGTCTGTTGGCCATGATGCTCTTGGCGCAGACCGATAGCCGCCAACGTGGCGGAAGCGTAGGGATGCCCCAGGCTCTGGTCTCAGCACCCTAACCTATTGACAGTTGTCACTATAACTCAGAGGTGGCTGTAGTTCACACCCCCCCTTGTGGAGTTGGGGAACCTGAGTCTACAGCGGTGAGGAGGAGCCCATTGAATTTCCTGAGTTTCCCACGCCCTAGCTGTTGGGAAGTGTCGTGAAACTCCCAGCGAGAGAGGGACAAGGATCTGTTGGCCAGTAGAATGTTGTGTGGTGATGGAAAGGTTCTCGCTCTGCACTGTCCACGAGGGTTGCCATTTACCCCATGTGGCTACTGACCACTTTGAGTTTGGCATGTATGACTGAGGAATGGGATTTCTTATTTGATTGTAATGATTTTAAATTTAAAAGATTCCCTGTCTTGAACACCACAGGATGGCAGGGAGCTGGAAGGAGCAGGCTGTGTCTGCAGGGCTAGTAGGTCCAGGGTGGGCTGAGGACAGGCAGTGATGTCCCTGCTGTCACAGGTACTGCCCTGAATGCCGAAATGACGCCAGTGAGGTGGTGCTGGCAGGGGAGAAGCTGAAAGAGAGTAAGAAGAAGGCGAAGATGGCATCGGCCACGTCATCCTCGCAGCGGGACTGGGGCAAGGTGAGGTGGCCCCCTCGCCCCGCGTGTCCCTGGCAGCCCTGTTGCCTTCCCATGCTCACTCACAGGGCTCTTTCATCTCTGTTTCTGGAATGGACAGGGCATGGCGTGCGTGGGGCGTACCAAGGAGTGCACCATCGTTCCATCCAACCACTACGGACCCATCCCAGGGATACCCGTGGGCACCATGTGGAGGTTCAGAGTCCAGGTACCCCCAAAAGCTGGAGTTTGGCCAATAGGCACTGGTCTTCCAGAAGCCCACTTGCTTGGAGAGGACCGTACCTTGAACAGATGGCGCTGCTGGAATTCAAGCCAGCTCCTCCTGTGCTGTGGCCCAGGTTCAGGGGAGAGGGTCTCGTAGTAGGTGTGACGCGTTCAGGGGGAAGGTCAGGCCACTGGCTCTGAAGACAGTAGGAGGAGAGGAGGGTTGAGCTTTTCTACAGCAGCCAGCCCAGAAAGAGCTGTTTGTTTCTCGGTGGTTTTCACAGGTCAGTGAGTCAGGGGTCCATCGGCCTCACGTGGCGGGCATCCATGGCCGGAGCAATGATGGGGCGTACTCTCTGGTCCTGGCCGGGGGGTATGAGGACGACGTGGTAAGTAGGGGGTTGTTTTATTTATTTACTCTTTTGGGAGGGAAGGGAGGGAAACATCAATGTGTGGTTGCCTCTCATGCGTACCCCTGCTGGGTGTGCCCTAACTGAGAATCGAACCAGTGACCCTTTGGTTCTCAGGCTGGTCGGTGCTCAATCCACTGAGCCACACCAGCCAGGGCTGTTTTATGTATTTTTTAATTGTAATAGACACATAACATAAAATGTACCATTTTAACCATTTTAAGTATACTCTCAGTGACACTGTATACATGTGCATTGTTGTGTAACCATCACCACTATTTATCTCTAGAACTTTCTTTTCTTCCCAAACTGAAATTCTGTCCCCTTGAAACGCTAACTCCCCATCCCTTTCCCCGAGCTCCTGGCTTACACCATCTGCTTTCTGTCTCTGTGAATCTGACTCCTCCAGGGACTTTGGATGAGTGGAATCACAGTATTTGTCCTTTTGTGTCTGGTTTATTTCACTGAGCGTAATGTCCTCAAGGTTCATCTATGTTGTAGCATATTGTAGAGTTTCCTTTCTTTTTAAGGCTAAGTAAATGTTTCATTGTCTGGATGGACCACATTGTGTTTATCCATCATCTGCCAATGGATACTTAGGTTGCTTCCACCTCTTGGATATTACAAATGGCGCTGCTGTGAACATGAGTGTACAGATAATCTCTGAAATGCCCTGCTTTCAATTTTTTGGGGTATATGCAGACACAAAGGTGGAATTGCTGGATTACACATAATTTTTTGAGGAACTTCCATAACATTTTCCCCAGCAGCCGCACCATTTTCCGTTCCCACCAGCCGTGTACAGGGTTCCAGTTTCTCCACATCCTAATCATAACCGGTTATTTTCTTTTCCTTTGACAATTGATGCCCTAGCAGGTGTTATGGATTTATTTTCAGTGGAATCTCCTCTTTGTGTGTGTGTCGGGGGGAGGTCAGCTTGCCCTTCTCTCTTTCAGGACCATGGGAATTCGTTCACGTACACTGGTAGCGGTGGTCGAGATCTTTCTGGCAACAAGCGGACTGCGGAACAGTCCTGTGATCAGAAGCTTACCCACACCAACAGGTTCGCAGAGAAAAGATTTTCTTATTTTTTCACCATCATACTTCTGTCCCATCCTCTGGCAGCTACACGGGGTGGCGGGGGGGTTGGTTCTGTTTTGGGGTGTCGTGTCCAGGAAGTTAGATTCCCATTAATAGTGTGGTGGGATGTATGGATGCTGAAAATCTATTCAGAGCATAAAAATAAATTTTTCCCTGAAGAGGCCAGGTAATAAATTTTTTTGGCTTTTTGAGCTACATGGTCTCTGTTGCAGCCATCTCTGCTATCGGAGCACAAAAGCATCTGCAGAACTTGTCTAAGTGAGCAAGCATGGCCATGTTCCAATGAAGCTTCTCTTGAAAAATGAAGCTTTGGGCTGGAATTTGCTGACCCCTCAATTGCAGGATGGGGATAGTCTTTTTTAAGCATAAAAAGTATCATGAAACCTAAAGGAAAAGACGGATCTGATTACCTAAATATTACACATTGCATTAGCAAAACTCACAAGTAAAATGAAAAGACAGATGACTGGGGGAAAGGTCTGCAACAAACGTGACAAGTGACATGTAAAGAACTGTTGCAAATCAGTAAGAAAAGCTAATAGGAAAAAAGCAAAAGACGTGCAGATCATTGACAAAAGAAATGGAAATCTTCAATGACAATGAAAAATTGTTCAACTTTTCTAATCAAAGACATACAAATGGAGTGATGGTGAGATACTATTTATTTCCCTTGTGAAACTGGCCAAAAATACTAAAGTGTTGAGAAATGCCAAGGCATAGACTGCTGTTCTTTTGTTGGTAGAAATACAAATGGGTACCTTCTTTCCAGAAAGATCTTGAAAATGATCTTATGACCCTTTAATTCTACTCTGGAAGTGTGTTGTGAGACGAGAGGAGGGGAAAATCTTATGGGTAGTAATTTTTATCAAACCATTGTATAAAACAGCAAAATGTCAGTACCTGAATGTCTTTTTTTTTTTTTTTTTTTTTAAAGGCACGGGTTTGCCACTTGTTTATTTGTCAAGAGGAATATTTTAATTTCATTAGCTGGTAAAAATCATGTTTTCAGAAAAGATTTAATGTGAGGAACAGCACATAAGCTAACATTAAGTAATACTCGCTGGGCACAAACTAAGAAATTTGTTTAAAAAGTATTGTTTGCAGCTAGAAAACAGTGGCACAGTTGCAGCTTTTCTCTCTCACACCTGAGAGAGCGGTCAGAGTGCTGAGCCTGAGTTCGGTTTGGCTTGCCGCGGGCCCGTCCTTGGCCGGGACAGACCTGCCCAGGTAGCCCGCATTACTGCCTCTTCTTGTTTTCTTGATGACGTCCTCCCCACGTGGTGTGCTAGTATCCTGTGGCTCCAGCAGGAAAACAAACCAGCTGGTTCAAAGCAACAGAAATTTATTCTCATATACTCCTGAAAGCCCAAAGTAAACATCAAGGTGTCACAGGGCTTTGCTTCCTCTGAACTTTCTGTGGGACGGTCCTTTTTGCCTCTTCTAATTTCTGGTGGCTGCCAGCAATCCTTGGTGTCCCTTAGCTGCCTCCATCTTCACAAGGTTTCCTCCCCTGTATGCCCGTGTCTCAATTTCTTCTTTTTCTAAGGACACTAGTCATTGGATTTTTGGGGTCCCCCTCATCCATTCTGACGTCAGAACTTGACTTTATCTGCAGTCACCCTCTTTTTAAAGGTCATATTCATAGGTTCCAAGGGTTAAAATGGCCTCTCTTTTGCCGGGAGGCAGTCCAACCTATAGCGTGTGGCCCCGGCTCTCCCCACAGGGCACTGGCTCTCAACTGCAGTGCCCCTATCAACGACCGCAAAGGGGCCGAGGCCAAGGACTGGCGCTCAGGGAAACCGGTCCGGGTGGTGCGCAATGTCAAGGGCCGCAAGCACAGCAAATATGCCCCCACTGAGGGCAACCGGTACGACGGCATCTATAAGGTGAGAGGTCTTCCCTGTGCCCTCCCGGGCCACCTCCAGTCCCAGACGACACTGACATCAGCACTCACTTCCTGCAGGTCGTGAGGTACTGGCCCGAGAAGGGGAAATCTGGCTTCCTGGTGTGGCGCTATCTCCTGCGGAGGGATGACAGTGAACCCGGCCCCTGGACAAAGGAAGGGAAGGATCGGATCAAGAAGCTGGGGCTGACCATGCAGGTGCGTCCAGGCTGTGCTCATCTGTCCCAGCAGTCCTTTCTGGAGCCTTGTCTTCCTGGTCGGCCACCTCAGGATCATGGCAGGAGCCGCCCTAAGGAGGACAGGGCCGTGAGTGCTCAGCCAGCCAGAGCCTGCCTTCTTGGCCTGGAAGCTCTCCTGGGTTTCTCTCTCATCCTAAATGATATCCAGGGCCAAGCTGGCGACACCTTGCTGTCTGCCCTTATTTCAGTTCTTCAGCCGCTGGATACTGGAGATGGGCAGGTTGTGTTTGCTGTTTTGTGTTCTTGGGCTCAGAGTTGAGATCCAGACTTCTTATCCTAGCTGTATCAGTAGATGAGTTTGTCTGAAATCAGTTTTGGAGCCCTCCCCTCCTGCACTTAAAAAAAAAAAAAAGGCAGAAACAAACCAAAAACACTGGTGGAATATAGAGAAGTCCGTTGTAAAGATAAGGAGGATTGGTCCCTCCAGCCATTGCTGGCCTTTTTATAGAAATGGAGTCTTCTATCTCCTGAGAATTTCCCCTGTGCCAGAGTAGGGCTTTTTGGCACTATAATTAGGGTGTTTTCTGTTTATTATGGTGAGATGCTTTAACAGCTGATAACCCTTGGGACTATTTAAGGAATCTTAATTGTCATTGAGGGGCTGATAGCGCCTGCCCCTGGGGAGGGGGTGGGCCACAAGGAGTTGTCTTTTGAACAGAATGTATGTACCAGGGGTGGTTTCAGAAGCTGAGGAACTGGGGAGAAAAACAGCTGTGGGACGGAACATCAGCGTCTGGTGGGCGTTGGGTTTTTATTTATGATTTCAGTTTTCTTTGCAACTTAGTGTTTCTTTTAAAGAAGATTGGAGATTTCTTGATGAAACATTTCAGAATCAGATATAGGTATAGGTGCCTTAGATACAGAGTTATAACCAAATCCTGCTTGTTTGGACCTGGAGCCCAAGGCCCATCCAGGTGGGGTTGGCCCTGGCTGCGTGGCTCAGTTGGTTGGAGTGTTGTCCTGTAAACCGAAAGGGTGCAGGTTCTATCCCCAGTGAGGGCACATGCCTATGTTGTGGGTTTGATCCCCAGTCAGGGCGCCTATGGGAGGCTAACTGATTAATGTTTCTCACATTGATGTTTCTCTCTTTTTTTCCCTGCCTCCCTCCCTCCCTTCCTTCCTCTAAAAATTTATAAACATATTTTCCTGCTTTGGTGAGGATTAAAAAAAATTGGGTTGGATGACAACGAAGGCCCTGAGGCAGTTGTTTGCAAAAGACGTTTAGTTGGGGCACAGCCACATCTGCTCATTCGCACAGGGGCTCAGCCTGCTGCTGGGCCCCGGCAGGGCTTGCTGTCCCCCAAAGCTGAAACGTGCTTACACTGGGCCCCTTGCTGGAAGGTTTGCCTAGCCCTTAAAGGAAATAGTAACGATGAGGTTATCACATTGGCTGGACCTGCCGCTACGCATTTTCTGTGCACCAGCTCGTATAGTGGGTCACTCTTACCCCACGGGGGCAGGTTAGCCCTTCATTTATGGTGTGCCACCATGAGATTACTGTCCCAGGTCTGGAGTTGAGTGAGTGGTGGTCTCAGGTCTGAGGCTGTCAGGTAGACAGAGTTAAGGCTGATGTGGGGACTGGGGAGGAAGTGACAGGTGAGTGGAGATGGGAGGTGGCAGGAAGTGCTGGGCAAGGGTGGCAGGTGTCAGGGTAGGGCAGTCCCTGGTCCCCAAACCCCTGCAGGGCGTCTGGGTGGCCCAGAAGGCCCATCGCTCCAGCCTGTTCCTCACGGCTTGCCTTCACTCTCTCATAGTATCCTGAAGGCTACTTGGAGGCCCTGGCCAAGAAGGAGAAGGAGAAAGAGAACAGAAAGAGGACATCTGAAGAGGTGGAGGAAGAGGAGGAAGAGGAGGAGGAAGAGGAGGGTTTCACATCCCCCAGGAAGGGCAAACGGAAGAGCAAGGCAGAAGGTGGGTATCTCTCCGTGGGCAATCTGGCCACGTAGCCTTAGGCTTGCCCACCCTCATCATTCTGCTTTGTCTCAGCAGGTGGCAGGACTGGTGCCTGGTCCCTGGGAAGGACACCCAAGAAAACCAAGGTGGAGCCTTACAGCCTCACGGCCCAGCAGAAAGGCCTCATCAAGGAGGACCAGAGCAACACCAAGCTGTGGACGGAGATCCTCAAGTCGCTCAAGGATGGGCCGGTGAGCGCCCCACCAGGCCTGGGCAGGCTTGTCCCCTTCGTTTCTTTTTATTGCAACAAAATTGAGGAAACATAAAATGCACCATTTTATGTCATCTCTTAACCATTTTTCAGTGTATAGCTCAGCGGCGTTAAAGACATTCACACTGTCACGCAGCCGTCTCCACCGCCCATCTCCAGAACTTTCTCACCTTCCCCAACCAAAACTCTGTCCCCATGAGACACATCCCATCGCCCTCCCCCAGCCCCGGGCCCCACCATCCTCTTTCAGTCGCTATGAATCTGACTCCTCTAAGGACCGCATGTAAGTAGAGTCACACAGGACTTGTTCTGTTGTGTCTGGCTTATTCCACCGAGTGGCACGTCTTCAGGGTTCATCCACGTTGTTAAGGTGTCAGAATGTCCTCTTTAAGGCTGAATAATATTTCATCGCCTGAATAGGCCACATTGTGTCCATCATCTGTCAGTGGACAGCTGAGTTGTTTTCCTCTTAGGGCTCTGCTGAACCATGCTGCTGAGGGCACGGGTGCGCAGCCATCTCTTTTAGCCTCTGTTTTCAATTCTCTTGGATATATATAGATGCTCCTTGATTTACGGTGGGGTTATGTCCCAATAAATCCCTCATAAGTCACATGCATTTGACACATCTAACCTACTAAACATCACAGTTTAGCTCAGCCCACCATGAATATGCTTAGAACAAATACATTAGCCTCCAGCCAGGCAAAATGTTCTCGCTGCCACTGCCCAGCACCACGGGTATCCAATCGCCTGTCACTAGCCCAGGACAAGAGACAAATTCAAAGTACAGTTTCTATGGAATGGGTACCACTTTTACACCATTGCAAAGTTGAGAAATTGTAAGTTGAACCGTCATCAGCTAGGGGCTCTATGTACCCAGAAGTGGGATTGCTGGGTCACATGGTCATTCTGTGTTCAACTTTCCAATGAAGCGCCAACCCAGGCTATCTTTTTTTCCCCCTGTTTTTTTTTCCCTCCCAAGCTGTCTTTTTTTTTTTTTTTTTTTTTTATCCTCCTGCCATAGGTAGGGTAAGTGACACTGATGGGTCACTGCAAGTGAGTGGCTCATAGTCCTCTGGCTGCTTTCCTCATTTGGTGGGAGCTGGCTGTCTGCGGCTCCCTCTCAGAGTCCAACCCAAACCGTGGGCAGTCTGCGGATGGCCCCCACTCCTGGGCTCTTCCTCCGGGGCCTCCCATCGCAGGTTCCTCTGCCTGGAACACCTTCATCCACAGCCCTCCTAGCTCAGTCCCTTCTTCTTGCGCGAGTCTACTCTGGCTGCCCTAACAAATGACCACAGACCTAGTGGCACAAAATGAGTTATTTTTTTCTCAGTTCTGATGGTCAGAAATCCTAGAGGTTTTCTTTCCTTAACAACAAATGTATTTTTTGCCTTGGCTGGTGTGGCTTTGTTGTAGCATTGTTCCATAACTGAAAGGTTGCCAGTTCAATTCCCAGTCAGGGCATCTGCCTAGGTTGCGGGTTCAATCCCTGGTCCAGGCACATGGGAGGCAACCGATAGATGTTTCTCTCTCACATGGATGTTTCTTTCCGTTCCATTCTCCCTTCCTCTCTCTGTAAAAGCAATGAAAAAATGTCCTCGGGTGAGGATAAAAAGAAATTTATTTTTCAATTACAGTTGATATTCAATATTGCGTTAGTTCCAGCTGTACAGCCATAGTGGTTAGACATTTGTATAACTTAAGAAGTGATCCCCGATAAATCTAGTAACCACCTGATAGCACACATAGTTATTACAATATTATGACTATATTCCTTATGCTGTACTTTACATCCCCATGACTGTTTTGCAACTGCCAATTTGTACTTCTTAATCCCTTTACCTTTTTCACCTCCATCAATTTGTTCTCTGTATCTATGAGTTTGTTTTATTTTGTTCTTTAGATTTCACATAAAAGTGAAATCATGGTATTTGTCTTTCTCTGCCTTATTTCTTTTAGCATAGCACTCTTGTGTGTCCATCCATGTTGTTGCAAATGGTAAGACTGCGTTCTCTTTTTATGGCTGAGTAATATTCCATTGTAAATATGTACCATCTCTTGTTTATCCATTAGTCTATCCAAGGACACTTGGGTTGCTTTGATATGTTGGCTATTGTAAATAATGCCGTAGTGAACATAGGGGTGCATATATCTTTTTGAATTAGTGTTTTGGATTTCTTTCAATAAATACAAGAAGTGTTATTGCTGGGTCATATGGTAGTTCTAGTTTTAAAAAATTTTGAGGACCCTACATAATTTTTGCTATAGTAGGTACACCAGTCTTCATTCCCAGCAACAGTGCATGAGGGTTCGCAATTCTCCATAGCTTCATCAACCCTTGTTTGTTGATTTATTGATGATAGCCATTCTGACCAGTGTGAGGTGATAGCTTATTGTGGTTAATTTGCATTTCTCTAATGATGACATTGAGCATCTTTTTATATGTCTATTGGCCATCTCTCCTCTTTGGAGAAATGTCTATTTAGGCCCTCTGCCCATTTTTTTTTTTAATTTTATTTATTTACTTTTCAGAGAGAAGGGAGAGAGAAAGAGAGGGAGAGAAACATCCATGAGTGAAAGAAACATTGATTAGCCACCTCTTGCATGCCCCCAACTGGGGACCTGGCCTGCAACCCAGGCATGTGCCCTGGCTGGGAATCGAAGCAGTGACCTTTCAGTTTGCAGACAGGCGCCCAGTCCACTGAGCCACACCAGCCAAGGCACCTCTGCCCATTTTTAAGCTGGATTGTCTTTCTGTGTTTAGTTATCTGAGTTCCTTATATCCGTATGTTTTTGATATTATCCCTTTATTGTATGTATCATTGGTGAGTATCTTCTTTCATTCAGTAGGTTGTCTTTTCATTCTGTTAATAGTTTCCTTTGCTGTGCAAAAACTTTTTTAGTTTATTAAAGTAGTCCCATTTCAGGGTCCTTAATTTAATCCCATCTGCAGAGTTTCTTTTGCTGTGGAAGGGAATGTATATACAGATCCAGGGATTCGGATGTGGCATTTGAGGAGCCATGATTTAGCTGGCCACATGTTCTTGGGGTCACCTTCTCCACAGAGTGTTCTTTGACCAACTGCATTTTGGGTTGGCCCTGCCCAGGCTCTCTGCTGTACTTCCCAGTACTGTTGTGACACTTCTGTCTTTTTCTGTTTCATCTTCACCCTCCCCCCGTCAACAGGGCTCCAAGCTCTATGAGGGCATAAGGTTCTTCTGTTTAATCCACTGCTGGACCCTGGCGCCTGGGCGGCACACAGGATTTCAGCGCTATTTGCTGAGCAGTCCAGATCCACGCCCTCAGAGTACACTGATAAAGCCTGCTCTTGACCCTGACCCTGGGTATCCCACTCAGCACCATCAAGACTAAGTCCCCGGCTGGCTCTGCCCACCGCCGGGTCCCCGGCAAGGCTGGCATCTTTCTGGGCCTCTGCTTTGTCATCTTAAAATGGCGACCACAACCGTTGCTGTCTCCTGTGATGGGGATAGGAGGATGAAATTGGGGGACCCAGGGCGAGGCCCTAGCAGGGAGCTCCGTTTCCTGAGGATTCCATCAACATGGATGTTCATTCAGGTGTAAGGCTCTGCTGGTCTCATGCACTCTCTTTTCTGGTTTTAGAAATTCCTGAGTAAAGTGGAAGAAATGTTCCAGTGTATTTGCTGCCAGGAACTGGTATTCCGCCCCGATCACAACCGTGTGCCAACACAACGTGTGCAAGGTGAGAGGGGTGGGCCTGGGAGCTGGGCTGCCACACAGCTCACGTGCGGCATGGGCTTGTTGGCTTGGCTTCTTCACACTCCTGACTCCTGGCCCTTTGCAGGACCTCGGTGTCTGTTTTCTGAGTAGCCTCGATTATAGTTGCCTCCCGGCCTCCATCAAGGGATCCCATTGCCCCACTTCCCTGCTCCCCCACTCCCGTGCCTCCCTGGTGCTATTTAATCAAATGCCAACTTCGTGCCTGGGCCACCGAGCCCACCTGGGCCACCTGGCACTCTGGTGCCACCTTGCTTCATGACTCCAGCCACATGAGTCCCCTGCCATGCATAGGCTAGTCCTCTCCTCCCTCTGGAACACTCTCCCCCAGCCTCTCACATACACCGGGGTGCAGGGTGGGAGAGGGCAGGCGGCGGTCCTGGCCTGAGGGCTGGTCGTAATAAAAAGCTATGAAGCAGGCAGTAGGGGCATGAGGCGCTTGTCTCCTGGAGGAGCAGGAGGTAGGCTTCTTGGAGGAAGGGGGCCTTAGCCTGTCACCTAAAGAGGGCCTCTGGGCAGCATTCCAGGCAGGCAGAATGGCATGTGCAGAAGTCTGGACAGGCAGGCGCATCTGAATAGCTGGGGCCTGTAGGGTTGTGTGGGGCTGGGAGGTGGGCCATTCACTCTGCCTGGAGTTCAGCCTCAAGAGGGAAACAGTGTGATTGTAAGAAATGGGGGGCTGAGATTAAGCTAGACCAGGGTCTCCCCCTCAGCACTGCGGACATTGGGGCGGGAACATTCTCTGGGGGGTGCTGTTCTAGACACTGAACTGTTGAGCAGCCTCACTGGCCCCCACCGATTTGACGCCGGGAGCTCCCCCAATCATGACGACCACAGGCGCCCTCAGACAGGGCCCAGTGTCCCCTGGAGGAAGAATCGCACTGTTGGGAAGCACTGGTCTGTGTAAGTGGTTTCTCTGCAGTGTTTTCTGGCCAGAGTCAGTCAGTAGGAGCTTATGGGCAGTGCAGGCAGATGGTGTTAGAAGGGAGTGTCCCTGCCTCTTTGTCGCCCTTAGCCTCTGGGCTGCAGGCGATTTTGTTCTCCACTCTGTCCCCATTCTTCACCTTGGGGCTGTCTTAGTGCCTCAGCTGTCACACTAAGGGAGGGACTCAGAGAACATTAAGCAGTTTGGCCCTCAGGGTCAGGCCTTTCCTTTTTTGCTCTTGGGCTCTGACACTATGTCACTTGGGCTGTGTGACCTGGAAGGGAGGCTCAGGGTAGGCAGAAACGAGAGATGAGGGCTTTGGAGTCCAAGGCCAGGGTTTAACCCTCCCCCCAGCTCTGTCCCTCCCAGCCTTGGAAAGCCACTTAACTCTCAGCATAGCAGCACCTTCCTGGCCTGCTTCTGGCTCCTGGTGACAAGTGCTAAAGGGCTGTATGCAGGCATGCAGAGGGAGGCACGAGATGTAGGGAGAGCTTGCAAAAGGTCAGGCCTGGCTAGCACTGCAGAAATGGGCCAGATTGATGGGGTTTCAGGGACCAAGCATCTCAGGAGTCGGTCATGTGTCATTAAAGTGCCAGGACTGTGAAGGAAGAGGGTATCAACATTGGTGTGTGTGTCCCTTCTGTCCATGCAACTGCAGTTAACATCTTCCGGAACCTCAGCATGGGATCAGTTATGGGCAAATGACCCTCCACCCTGATGTCCCAGTACCTGATCTTTTTATTCTGTTAAATTGTATTATTGTAGTAAAATACACATAACGTAAAATTTACTGTCGTAACCATTTTTAAGCGTACAGTCCAGCAGTCTTCAGTACGTTCACATTGTTGGGCAGCCATCCCCGCCATCCATCTCTAGAATTTCTCTCTCTTCCCAAACTCAGACTTTGGCCCCTCCCTAGGGAGGGGTTCTAGGGACTTCCTGCGAGTGGAATCACACAGTATTTGTGCTTTTGTGACTGGCTTATTTCACTGAGCGTAATGTCTTCAAGGTTTATTTACATTGTAGTGTGTGTCAGAATTTCCTTTTTAAGGCCAAATAATGTTCCATTGCCTAGATGGACCATACTCTTATCATTCATCTGTTGATGGCCACTTGGGTTGTTTTCACCTTTTGGATGCTATGAATCATGCAGTAATCCAGACCCTGATTTTTGAACGTGGACCCGAATCTTAAAGATACGTTGAATAGAAAGAGCTATCAAGGCCATAAACTTTACATTGAAAAAAATTCAGGAATGTATAAAAAGGGAAACAAAAGCTTCAGTGTGCATCCACGGTTGAATGTGCTCTGGCGTCAGCAGGCTTTCCACTGTGTTGACATTTACTCCCTTACCCACTTACCTGATGCAGGTGCCTGCATACCTGTGTGCATTGTCTCTGTCCCAGTGGGCGGAGTCTTCCCTGCTTTTCTGATTGGGAAGTTCGCCCTCCAGGGCCTGGCCGCTCCGTATCTCTCTCTCTCTTCCTGGCTTAGTTTGAACCCAGAAGTCTAGCTCAGTGCCAGAATTCCTCTTTCCCCCTTTATTCTTTTTGACACATTTATTGGTCATCTACTATGTGTCATGTCTTATGCTTGGTGCTAGGTGAGCAAGACACAGCTCCAAAACACAGGGAAGCATCTGGCCTATTAGCGATAAACATGTTAGTAAACAAGATGATGTCAGAAGGTGGAACATGCTGTTTTAAGGCAAACTGGGGAGATGATAGGACTTGCTTTGGCGGGGCTGCTTTGGGTAGCCCAGGGATGTCAGGGAGGGTCCTCTGAGGTGTTGACCTGAGTCAAGGCATGAGTGATGAGAGAGCGAGAGGACAAACCTGTCAGAGGTGGTGGGACCCCTAAGTACCAAGGCTTGGGGCCAGGATATGCTTGAGTCTTCGAGGGGTCTTGGGGAGGCCAGGCAGGCAATGGGTGGTGAACGGTAAAAAGTGAGACTAAAGATCAGGAGGGCCCTCTGGACCCCGTGAGAAGTCGGTAATTGCTCTCAATGCTCTCAGTGGGGACAGTGGGCGGCCAGGAGCGGCTCTACTGATGGGAATGGGACATCTCACCTCCCTGCACTCTCTTGTAGGATTGCCTGGATAGATCCTTCAAGGCCCAGGTGTTCAGCTGCCCCGCCTGCCGCTATGACTTGGGCCGGAACTACGCCATGCAGGTGAACCAGCCGCTGCAGGCAGTCCTCAACCAGCTCTTCCCTGGTTATGGCAATGGACGGTGATCCTCAAGCACTTCTCGCCAGGGCGTTTTTTAAAACGCATCTGAGGCGTCCTTGGCCCCTCTTGTTTTTAGTGGGCTTAACTTAAACATGTAGTTTGTCCTCTACTCCCTAAAAGGCGTTGTCTTCCTGATTTTTTTTTTTAATCTATAAATTTTCAGGAATGTGTTTTATGGCTCAAAGAAAGAAAGTTAGACTGCTCAGTTTTTATCTTGGTTTTTTAAAAAATATAAAGCTTGCAATGTATCAGCAAAAAAACAAAATTTTTTTCTTTTTCTTTTTATATAACAAAATATTTTTAATAAATAAATTGCCTGTTAGTCCTGGAGTTACAGCCATTAAACTTGATTGAAAAACCAAGTATAGCCAAGCGCAACAAGAGCCATGCGATTCCGTGGCATCTACATCCCAGGTCTTTCATGCAGAGCAGCAGCCTTACTCAGTGACAGAAAAACAAAAACAAAAACAGAAAAAGACCAAGATCCGGCCAGCAGGAAATGAACACTGTCCACGATGGGGCCTTGGAGCTTGGTCTGACGGCGGTGACTTCCATAGCTCTCTCAGGTACTGCGGTCTGATCTGCCCATCAGGAAGATCTCAGGTCAGTTGCCTGAAATACTCTCCAAGAACATAACTCTTCTCCATAGCAGATGACCCTAGTTCCTGTGGCCTCCGTGTCTTCTCAAAGAGTCCTGAATTCAGCTGCTCCTCTTTTCCTAACCAGCATGAAATGTTGTGTGACAGATCTAGGCTCAATGGCCTCTGGGAAAAGGGCTTGGAAAGCAGTGTCATGCACAGTCCGGCCACAACCCAAGAAAACAAACGACTTGTTCTTGCAGAGTCAATGAAGCTCTCTCAGAACTGGAGCATAATTGGGCACTCTCCAGTACCCATCTGGACTAATGACAGTACCTCTAGTGCTGATGTAGACCCCATGGACATGTAACACGCTCATCTTCCACTTCTCCTGAGCCCACTTTATGACCTTTATTGCATCAGTCAAGTTGAGGGATCCACATTCTTTCCCCTGATCTGCTGCATACATTCCAAGGGATTGTTGAGATTCTGAGTTAATACCAGGGCTCCATTTTCCATCAGGTGAAAAACTAACTGAAGGAGCTCTTTTCCAGAGTCTTTGATCTTTGACACCAAGCCATGGAATACTGCTTATAAAGAGTGCTTGAAAATACATACTGTCTTCGTTAAGTGGAGTCTCTGAAAAAGGTCCTGGGCAACTTGAACAAGATCCTTGATTTTCTGGAGATGTGTCTCAGATATTTTCCTTTCCTCGTCTAGATACTCAAAAGTCGCGGGCAGCAGTCAGTAATGCCTGAATTATCTCCTTCCAAGAGCTCAGGGCTGAAACCTCAGGTGCAACCACAGCAAATGCTTTTTTCCATCACCAGCACAAGTTCCCCAGCTTTTTTCTAAGAGTGGATACAGTGTCCTGGGCCTTCTGGTGGGAAGTTCTCCATTAAACAAACCCAAACTGTGTGTATCAGAGGCCTGGCTCTCTGAAACCATCGAGTTTCTACTTGTGTTTGTTGAAAATGCCTTCGAAGTTCTCCCAACTTCTTATTTTTCTGAATTAGAAGTGACTTGGCCTGAAGGCCACTTACGTTTCCAATATCAAGTTCTCAGAGGTTCCTGCAAGAAGGCATCAACTGCCTAGAACAACCTTTTCTAGGTGTGTGGGCTTGCCCCCAAAGCTGAAAGCGAGTGCACCTCCTGATAGCATTTTGTTGCCACAACCCAGGAGGATGGTGCCTGGTAGTGGCCCTGGTTTTGTGGCCCTGCTGTCATCCATCAGGATGTTGTTGAAAGGGAAAAAGGGAAAAATCCCACTCAGCCCAGTATAAACTCTGGCTGCAAAGCCATCCGCCACCATTTGGCTTCCATGGTTAAGACCTGCAAGTAGAGACCTATGTCCCTTGAGCAGAGTTGAAGCCACACAGAAGCTACCTCCTCTGGACTGTCCTCGCCGTGGGACTGGGTGCACAGCCAAATGCTGTCCGACTGGAACGCCACAGAAGCAGATCCATGAAGCCATGTTCAAGTGCCTTTGGTTCTTTCTTTCTAAACAGGGCTCTTTTTTTTTTTAGCACTGTATTACTGAAAATGCCAGCCAGATTCTCAGACTGGCCAACCAGTTTTTTCCAAAACCGGGTGAGTGGGGATGAGTTGAGTTTTGTCCTTCCTTTAAACTGAATTTTCAACTTGCCAATTGAGAATTACAAGAGGAAATTTGTTTTTAAAATAAACACTTTCTAAATGAAATTTTTTTTTGTAGTTACTGTACATGTATCAAGAAGTCTATAACTTAGGGGTTTTTTTTGAATTATTTGTTAATTTTTTTTTTTTTTTTTTTTACAAACTACCAAAGTTTGCAGCTTATACCTCAATAAAACAGGGATATTTTAAATCACATAACTGCAGGCAAACTGGAGCAACATTGTTTGAAAAGTTTTTTCCTCTTTATTATTAGGTTGTTAATGTATTAGGAAGAAATGACAAAATCCTGTGTAGGCATTTTCTAAAAAGTTCAATATTCTTTGTCCAGGTTTTAGATTCTCAGAATAAATGTCTTTTACAGATGCATTTGGTTTTGTCTTCTATTTGCAAATCGCTTTGTAGCCCACAGGCACTTCTGTTCCTATTATTTCATTTTCTCTTCACAAAAACTCCAGGAGACAGATGAGACAAGTAGCACCATCCCCACTTTGCAGATGAGAAAACAGAGACCCAGAAGATCAAAGTGAGAGGCAGTGGTTCTAATTGCTGTTCAGGAGGGGTTTGGCTTTGACCTTTATGGGGTCAGCCCCATAACAAACTATAGCTGTGGGGTCAAATCCAGCCTTCCACCTTGGGATGGGGGTGGTCACTTATTCTCACTGAGGTGGGTGCTACTGCCCTTATTTATGTCCGAGGAAACAGGCTGCAGCGGCCCCCCAGCGGGGGACTAGCGCGGGCCCTGAGTCAGTGTCACCAGCCTGAATCCTTAGCCGGGAAGTTGAATGGCCCTAGAAGGGGTGTCTGAAGGCCTGAGGGAACTTGGGTGCTCTGGATGTTGGTGGACTGATGACCTGGAAAGCTATTTCCAGTGCAAGTCAGAGGCCAGGGACGAGGGAGGGTACTAGTACTGAATTCTGCTGAGGCTATTGACGTTGACCTATTACCCTGTGCCTTTTACTGATGGTCAGGCAGTGACATGGGCAGATCTGATTTAATAAAAAAGGTCTGCCTCTTTGTTCCTTAAGATGTGTCAAGAGCCCTGGAAGACATGCTAAATGCAGGAAGACAGTTGCAGTGATCATACATGATTTCATGTGAAATCTCCAAACACAGGGACCCATAGGGACTGATTAGTGATTCTGGGGGCTGCTGGGTCAAGGGGATGGGGTGTTAGCTGAAGGGTACAGGGCTTTTGGGTGATGAAAATCTAAATCTGATGATGGTTGCACATGCCTGTGGATACATTATAGTCCATTGAATGTACACTTCAAGTGGGTGAATTGTATAGTATACAAATCATAAAAATGTCACATGTGGATGAGAAATAAAAACAGGAAAGATAGCAAAGAAGAATGGAAGAAAGTCCAGTGTGTTCTCATGTGGACCCTACACAGGGACAGACCACACTGAGGTGTCATTGTTAAGATTGTGGAATTTTTGGATATTTGATTTTCAAAGTGAACAATGCCATTGTTAAAAATTAGCAAAACTCCAAAAAGTGTATTTGTGAAACCACTATGCAGAAATAACATTAGGCATATTCCTTTCCTAGTAGATTTTAAAGATTTCCTTAAAAGTAACAATTGAAATATATTTCATGTTGCCATAAAGTTCACCCATTTAAAGTGTATACAGTTCAGTGGATTTTTAGCATGTTCACAGAATTGTGCAGTCACCACTCCCTGGTCCCAGAGGCTCCCATCCCTCCAAAAGCAACCCTGCTCCGTCCCCCAGCCCGTCAGCCATGAATCTACTCGCTCTGTGGATTTGATTGTTGTGCACATTTCACATATATGGAATCACGAAATACTTGGCTTTTTGTGGTCCCATGTTTTCAAGGTTCAACCATAGTGCGTGTCTCACTCCTTTTTGTGGTTTAATAATCCACTGTGTGAATGGACCACATTTTCCTACCCCTCTGGTTGACTTTTTAATGTAAAACTTCTTTCCTGCCATCCCAGGTTATAAATTAATACACAATCCCTTTAGAACATTTGGCAACTGACTACATAAAGAAAAAGTCAAAATATGTAATCCTTCCACCCAGAGGGTTACCATTTTCAGGCTTTGTGTGTACGTATGCATCAGTACTGTAATGTTTGACCTCAGTACAGTGCTCTGATACAGTTTTGACTTAGCCATTTTGCAAGTGAGGCATTAGAGAGGTTAAGTGTCTTACCTAAAGATATGGCAAAGACAGTACATGTATATTTAAACATGATTTATATGTAAATTTATTTTTAAATATTTTATTTATTTTTAGAGAGAGGGGAAGGGAGGGAGAGAAACATCAATGTGAGAGAGGAACATTGTTTGCCTCCCACATGCCCCCAGCTAGGGACCCAGTCTGAAACCCAGGCACATGCCCTGACTGGGAATCGAACTGGTGATCTTCCGGTTTGCAGGCCAGTGCTCAACCCAATGAGCCATGCCAGCCAGGACTATATGTAAATTTAAGGAACAAAATTGGAACAGTGCTGTATATTCTGCCTTGTGCCTGGTTTTGTATTGTTTTCAGTTCATTTATCAAGTAGCCACTTTGTCTAGCACCTTGGTAAACAAACATGTGCATGTGGTCTGGTGTTTGCATATTTGTGTCTGTGCTCATAAATGTGAAACATGCTACACGTGTCTAGCAACATATGTTTGGAGTGAAATGACGTATCTTTCCATCCATTTCTCTCTTTTTTTTTTTAATGCATCAGACACCTGGGAGTGGGAGGGAAGTCTTTGTAAAGTTTGAGACGTTTCTTGGCTCCACAACTTGCCCA